TTAGTCATACTTAATTTAGCTGATTCAGATATGATATATTATATTTCAGATCTACGAGGACTCTATCGTGCTGCAGTCTGTGTTCACCAGTGTGCGGCAGAAGATCGAGAAAGAAGTAGAGAGCGAGGGAGAAGAGAGTGAGGAGGAAGAGGACGAGGTAGATGAAGGATCGGAGTCTGAATGTAAGTATCGATGATGATGATACTGCCACTGTAACTGTAATTAAAAATTTTGTGAAATTCAACTATTTTCGAAGCAGAGTATCATGCATGTACAACTCAAAATTAATTGAAGTGAGTCCATGATTAACACACATAATGCATGTATATGCGTTTTAGCTCGTTCCGTGAAGGTGAAGATAAAGCTGAGTCGAAAGGACAAGGTGGAGAGAGGGAAGGGAAGACGCCGAACTGGACGCAGCTCGCGCCCTAAACCTATCGTTAGCGACGATGAGAGTGAGGACGACCAGGAAGAGGTACTTATGAATAATGAATATTGAACTTAAAGAGAGAGTTCATTCAGTGAAAAACCTCTTGTCTTTTTCTCATCCTTATGCCATCCCCACCCAATGTGTATCTTTCTTCAGATAAAAGCAAACAAAGATTTTTAGGAAAATAATCCATGACTGTGAGTCTAAATAATGCAAGTGAATCGTTTGACACTTTAAAACTGCGATCGTGATTTTAATCCATACGGCCTCGGTGGATCAATGGCCCTGTTTACACCTGGTATTAAGATTCATTTTGGTTGATCGGATCACAAGTAGACGAGGGAGACGCATTCCAGTTTACACCTGGTGTTTTAATCCGTCTCTTCTGTCCACTTTCAACCACTGAGGGTCTATGGGCAGTTAAATGTAAGTTTTTTTTTTACATCTTTCGATCTAATTGACAAAAATAAGCTCATGAACCCGACCGGAGAAAACAGAAAATCATACGGAGAGCATCAGCTTTCGTTTCTGTTCTGACAGCCGCAAGACCATGCAAAGTTGTAAACGGAATCCTGCATGGGTTATCTTGCTTCACGTTTCACACTGATCATAATCTACCTAGGGTTCATAAACTGCTGTTTCCTACGGAACATTCTTATTTGGATATTTGCAGTGTTAGTGTTATTGATTGGATGAACGCTGTGATAGGTTTACATAAATGCACTAGAATTTCACATCCTCATATTATATATAGCCGACTTTACTATCAAGTTTACCCTGGATGAATGCCGTGATATGTTAAATGGCACATTACGTATCCTCATATTATGGTCCTACCATAATAGCGCTTACACGCCTGCTAAAGGCCACAGTTGCTAGTGTACCTCTTGAGGCCAGGGTAGTGAGGTTTACTCGCTCAGCTCTTACTAGCGGGCCTCCGTTACACTCACCCCTTTAAACCTCACTACCATCCAGGTCACGGCACCAATATGACTGATTCGAATCCAGCTCGGAGTGCTACGATTAAGACCAGTGTCAGCAGCATAGGAATCGAGAGCAAAAGCCTGCAAAAGTGTTGTTTACATTACTCTGGAGCAGGGTTTCATAAATTACAAGTGTGAAACGTTCCTTTACCCAGGGTAAAAAGTTGTGCTTAAAATGATGGTAACCTGAGGTTAAGCACAGTGTGAAAAGTTTATTATTTTCCTAAAAATCTTCCTGTTTATCTGAAAAATGAAAGGCGTATCTATCGGGAATGATATGAGACTGTGGGTTTTAATGTGAGTTTCAGGCATGAGTGAACTATCCCTTTACAGATATTAAAAAGTACAGATATTAAGATATTTATCCTCTTGTTGTTCACTTATGCTAATTGTTTTTCAATTGTTTTGTGCAGGAGCATTCGATTAGTGGCAGCGATGATGAGTAAACCTCCTTCAGGACCAATTTATGTCTCTCGCTCACTTCTGCAACAGATTCAACAGATGCCCTCTCCTGAAGGGCCTAGTTTTACCCTTTTTTAGAGAGAGGACACTGATTAAATGAGAAAATGACACTATAAAATGCAGAAAAAAAGAATGCCCCTCCATTTGCATATTTAAGCAGACGATATCAATTTATGTATAGCAAGACAGTTTACGTATTGAACTTTTGTCTTTTCTTTCCATATTTGTTTTTATGATTTTTCATAAGGACGTGACATAAGATGGACAGATATTTGACAGACTGACTCAGTGGACCAGTAAGAGTGGATCATGTTTCAATGTCTTCTTGATTTTAGCCGCGTGAACGTCACCCCCTTCATCCCCCACCCCAGACCCCAGAACTCATGTTGTTTGTGGAAAACGCAGCCAGTTAGTTCTTTCCATTTTTCTCTTGATGTCTCTGTTTAAATTAAGATTGCAAACAGGATAAAGGTACTTCCTCCTTGTCAGGAGAAATGGGGGAGAATAGGGTGTAGGATTCTGTACTGTCAGTGTCACTGGATTTCCAAAATGCACAATAAAAGCGTCTCAGAAATACTCAATGCTTCAGAGTTGTTTTGCACAAGTCAAGACTTCAAAACTGGTGAACTGCATATAGTTGTGAGTAGAGATTGTGTAATAAATCCATTGTGTAATAAATAATAGGCGAAAATGGTTTTCCAAATTGATCTCACAGCAATTTGTACATATTTTACGAGGTGGCTAAATTCGCCCCTAAACCTACCCATCGCTGGACTACCCATCGCTTACAAGACTTTGCTCAATTTGTCCTTTACTGCGTGATTCATGTTGATTTAGCACTGTTGCTACATGACTTTTTGACCCCACTGTCCGCAACAGTTTTTCTGTAGATTTCCGTAGTTTTTTTTGTTGTCCATTTATTCATGAAGGATCATAGGCCATTTCTCCAGAAAGTCAAACACTGAACTGTTGGTTTAGTGATGTTTGTAAATATCCTAACATTGCCTAACTTTGGAGCACTGGAAATTCCTAACAAGCTTATTTTAACTGATTTGTAAGTGGTTTTTCCTTTTTCTTATTCTTCTTGAGTTAAAAGACCAATATGCATGAACTCAAAAAAGGATTTTTACCTCTTTTTCGGTTTAATTAAAATGAGCTAAAGTAACCTGATTTTTTAACATTTTGTCACAGCTTAATTTCATTGTGTTCAATCCACCTAATATATTTGAAACTTAAAGAGAGTTCACCCTAAAATGAAGATTTTGTCATTAATTACTTACCTTTTATGTCGTTCCAAAACCGTAAAACTTTTGTTCATCTGAACACAAATGAAGATCTTTTTTGATTAAATCTGAGAGCTTTCTGTCCCTCAATAGACCACTGCCCAACGACCACTTTGACGCTTCAAAAAGTTCATAAAGAGTTCGTAAGACTAATCCATATGAATTGAGCGGTTAAGTCCAATTTTTCTGAAGTGACTCGGTCGCTTTATGATGAACAAATTTAATTTAGGCTTTTATTCACATACACTCACCTAAAGGATTATTAGGAACACCATACTAATACTGTGTTTGACCCCCTTTCGCCTTCAGAACTGCCTTAATTCTACGTGGCATTGATTCAACAAGGTGCTGAAAGCATTCTTTAGCAATGTTGGCCCATATTGATAGGATAGCATCTTGCAGTTGATGGAGATTTGTGGGATGCACATCCAGGGCACGAAGCTCCCGTTCCACCACATCCCAAAGATGCTTTATTGGGTTGAGATCTGGTGACTGTGGGGGCCATTTTAGTACATTGAACTCATTGTCATGTTCAAGAAACCAATTTGAAATGATTCGAGCTTTGTGACATGGTGCATTATCCTGCTGGAAATAGCCATCAGAGGATGGGTACATGGTGGCCATAAAGGGATGGCAATGGTCAGAAACAATGCTCAGGTAGGCCGTGGCATTTAAACGATGCCCAATTGGCACTAAGGGGCCTAAAGTGTGCCAAGAAAACATCCCCCACACCATTACACCACCACCACCACCAGCCTGCACAGTGGTAACAAGGCATGATGGATCCATGTTCTCATTCTGTTTACGCCAAATTCTGACTCTACCATCTGAATGTCTCAACAGAAATCAAGACTCATCAGACCAGGCAACATTTTTCCAGTCTTCAACTGTCCAATTTTGGTGAGCTCTTGCAAATTGTAGTCTCTTTTTCCTATATGTAGTGGAGATGAGTGGTACCCGGTGGGGTCTTCTGCCGTTGTAGCCCATCCGCCTCAAGGTTGTGCGTGTTGTGGCTTCACAAATGCTTTGCTGCATACCTCGGTTGTAACGAGTGGTTATTTCAGTCAAAGTTGCTCTTCTATCAGCTTGAATCAGTCGGCCCATTCTCCTCTGAGCTCTAGCATTAAGGCATGTTCGCCCACAGGACTGCCGCATACTGGATGTTTTTCCCTTTTCACACCATTCTTTGTAAACCCTAGAAATGGTTGTGCGTGAAAATCCCAGTAACTGAGCAGATTGTGAAATACTCAGACTGGCCCGTCTGGCACCAACAACCATGCCACGCTCAAAATTGCTTAAATCACCTTTCTTTCCCATTCTGACATTCAGTTTGGAGTTCAGGAGATTGTCTTGACCAGGACCACACCCCTAAATGCATTGAAGCAACTGCCATGTGATTGGTTGATTAGATAATTGCATTAATAAGAAATTGAACAGGTGTTCCTAATAATCCTTTAGGTGAGTGTAATTGTACATGTACATTAATATGTTTTAAATAGAATTACGATTACTGTATGGCTAATATAGGCAGCCAAGGCAGGGCATTCAGTTACTTTTGAAAGGACAAAAATAAGATGTCATTGTATTTCATTAGACTTTAACTGTGCCAGCTATAAAAAATCCAGCATTTCCTTACGTTTTACCCATAGACTGTAAAAAAGGTTTTACCACTGATTTTTAGTGACAGTTGATATTCATGAGCCACTGGCCAATGACGGTTAATCCCGCCCTCCCCTCTCCCCTGCAGTGCCATACCACACTCACTCCTCTCCCTTCTTCTCACAGCCATCCACGAGCTAGACTTGAGCTGAAAGAGGGGGGGTTTCATGGCCCTTTAAATTAGACAGATTGATAGCGTGCACGTATTTACCAGCAGTGTCAGACTCATGAGTAGAAGTCCACCTGCTTAATCAGAATATGGGGATGTCATTTATGTTCTTACTGGCAGTTACTTTGCTCTGTCCTGTTCAAACAAGTGAGTAAACATATATTATTATTATTATTTATGTATGTACATTTATAACGTAGGCTAGCCTACTTTGAATTATATTACGAGAGTTACGTAAAATTTAGGTCTTTCTCTCTTGAACGTTTTTCTTCGAGGTAAAATCTACTTATCTTTCCCAACATTTTTTTTTAGTGTAAAATATGTTGAAGATTTGTGGACAGACAGTCGATTCATTAAAGGATAAGCTGTTTCCTCACAAAAGCGGTTTATAAAATACACTATTACGACAGAACCGAACCCCTCACCATAACAGGCAGATTTTACAACCAATTGCAAAAAACCTTTCGTCACGCCCCCTACCTTTCGGCAGGCAGAGAGGATAGGAAAAGTAAACAACGTGAGGAAAAACAACTCACAAATTTCTTTCCAAAGAGAGCCGGAGAGAACAAAATTGTTCGAGATAGGCGACCTAGTATGCAGATATTGTGTAACGTTAATGTAAATAGAGGCTTGCTGCACGGTAGTCTGCTTTACCCTATGGCTTTACCCCCCACATGTGAGAAACAACTTCCAAGCTGAGGTAACCCGAAAAGTGTGAGACAATCTTTAGAGATAAAATGAAAATATGGAAAACAATATATGTAAAGGATGTATGTACATTGTAGAATCAGATTGTGTGGATCTTGCATCCAAATGTTGATAAGGGCAAACTTGGTTATAACTTGAAGATGTTATTACATGATGATAAACTAAAAAAATAAATATGCATTTAACACATTAAACACTGTTCCAGAAACACTCGCAGGGAGTGAAGCAGCAAGCACATCACAGGATCCTACTTCAGCTGCTCGTCCTTTTAATGTTACTGAGAATGTGAATAAATGTAAGAACAGAGTGTAGTTTTTTTCAACTATTAATTGTTTACGTATTCAATGGACTTGTAACATTTTTTAACAGAAAATTCATTTGGCTTAAAAAATTTTTTACATAAAAATTGTCCTTCTCAGTCACAATCATGAAAGATTTAAGTAATAGCACAAGTGCATTACCACCTATTTTTTACCGTCTATGATTGCCACTTATACTATTCAGTACTATTTTTACAATATGCACATCAACTAATGGTAGAAAAAATATCCAACATGTAATTTATGGCTCGGCTACATTATTCCTTAATTTTCCATCCGTGTAGCCTACTGGTTTTTTTTTTTTTTTTTTTTTGTGTTTCCGTTTAATGAACTAATAAAATATTTAAACTCTAATTAATATTTCGTGTCTAATTATTTATGTGGCAAATAGCTGTGTAATAAGTCCCTCTGTGGGGTCCACATAACACTGTTTGGGTTTATTTTGCAAGAACAAACATATGGGTGTACATTATCCCTCAATAATAGTAATCGTAATCTTAGCCATGATCTCCCCAAATATAGACAATTCATAAAATGCCCTACCAGAGAAGATAACACTCTGCTACACTACGGTCAGTAAAGCCTACCACGCAGTTCCTTGTGCAGCACTGGGTCACTCTGACCATGCCATGGTCCACCTGATTCCTGCCTACAGGCAGAAACTAAAACTCTGTAAACCCGCTGTGAGGATATCAAAACAGTGGACCGGTGAGGCCTTAGAGGACCTGCGGGCGTGTTTGGACTCTACTGACTGGGACATGTTCAGGTCTACTACCAATGGCCCGGATGAGCACACAGAGGCTGTAACGACATACATCAGCTTCTGTGAAGACTGCTGTATTCCAACATGCACCAGGGTGCATTTTAACAATAAGCCCTGGTTCTCAGGTAAACTCAGAAGGTTGAGGGTGGAGAAAGAGAAAGCGTTTAGGAGTGGGGACAGAGATAGATTCAAGGAGTTGAAAAACAGGTTTGGAAAAGCCGTGAAGGAGGCTAAACGACTATTCAGAGAGGCTTCAACACCAGTTCTCTGCTGACGACTCTGCTTCTGTCTGGAGGGGGCTCAGGTAGATTACCAACTACAAGCCCCAAGCTCTCACTTGGCTTGTGACCTGAATGAGTTTTACTGTAGATTCGGAAGGCAACTGCACGGCCCTGCTCTACACCCCCCTTCACCAGACAGATGAGTAAACAGACTCTTCAAGAGGCAGAACCCATGGAAATCAGCTGGGCCCGACTCCATCTCTCCAGGCACCCTTAAGCACTGCGTGGACCAGCTGTCTCCTGTGTTCACCACCATCTTCAACACCTCTCTGGAGACTTGCCATGTACCAGCTTGTCTTAAACCCCTTGGTGAAAGACCTTTTGAATCTCATTGACTCTCATTGATTTTAATCTTGTGCAATCCCTAAATGGTCCTACACATGAGCATGGACACACATTGGATTTAGTTCTGTCATATGGCATTTCTGTATCTTATGTAGATGTTTGTGATGCTGTCTTCTCTGACCATAAACCAGTTATTTTTGGGGTTTCTTTTCCATGCCAGATTGAGAAACCTCACCCAAGTGTACGCCTATGTCGTAGGATAAATACGAGTGTCATTAATGAGTTCGCTACGATATTTGAGAACAATTATAATGTGTCTGATGCTCATCTTTTATCCTATTCAGACCCTGAGTCTTTGCTCTTTTCTTTTAATTCTGTATGCACAACTATTTTAGATGATGTTGCACCCTTGAAGGTGAGGCGTGTAAAAACTAAGGTAGAGCCTTGGATAAATTACACTACACGCGCACTCAGGGAAATCTGCAGGAGAGCAGAGCGTAAATGGCAGAAGGACAGACTCCAAGTGTCCTATGATAAATTAAGGGACTCTTTGCAGACATATCAAGGTGCTGTTAAAACAGCGAAGGCACAATATTTCTCCGATATTATTGAGAGAAACTATCATAGACCTAGAGTACTATTAAGTACTATAAACTCTATCGTAAATCCACCTAATGTAATTGTGCCTGATATGTCGATGGATACGTGTGATAATTTTAAATCATTTTCGGTTTCCAAAATCGAAAAAATTAGGTCTCAAATTCCTCCTGCTGTTTGTATTGTCCCAGCTATACCATGTTGTCTTATGGTGTTTGACCACTTTGAAGTTCTTCAACTTTCTAGTTTGGAAAAAAATAGTAGACCAGTTGAGGCCATCAGACTCCCCACTTGATATAGTCTCATCAAAGATAATCAAACAGGCTTTTGATACAGTTGGGCCTAGTGTTTTAAATATAATAAATAGCTGTCTTGTATCAGGGTCTGTGCCTGCCATTTTTAAACACGCTGTGGTGCAGCCTTTAATTAAAAATACTAATTTGAACTCAAATGAGTTAAATAATTATAGACCTATTTCAAAATTGTCATTCCTCTCAAAGATATTAGAGAAAGCAGTTCTCATTCAGCTGCAGTCTTTTTTGAATGAGAATTTACTTTTTGAAAAATTTCAGTCGGGTTTTAGGAAACATCACAGTACAGAATCTGCACTTTTAAAGTTCTTAATGATGTTTTAATGACTGTGGATTCTGGAAATGCTGCAGTTTTGGTGTTACTTGATTTGAGTGCGGCATTTGATACCATAGACCATGCAATTCTTTCTTATTGCACGGCTGGAGAGGTTGGTAGGGATGCGAGGTGTGGTTTTAAATTGGTTTAATTCCTATCTAACTGACAGAAGTTTCTCAGTCACCATGGGGGAATTTACATCTTCGTCTGCCCCTCTTAAAAGTGGGATACCTCAAGGGTCCATTTTGGGACCCATTCTGTTTTCGCTATACATGCTTCCAATTGGCGCGATCTTTCAAAAACACAGAGTATCATTCCATTGCTATGCAGATGATACACAGATATATATGCCTGTAAAAAGGGATGATAATTCATTAGGGCCTCTTTTAGCATGTTTGAATGATCTGAAAACCTGGCTGGCTGGCTGTTAATTTTTTGCATCTAAATGAATGCAAAACGGAGATTATTTATCTATTTATGGTCGATCAATGGTGAAAAACTTGGGGGTAATTTTTGATAACTCACTAAAATTTGACAAACAAGTTAACGCTGTTGTTCGATCATTCTTCTTCCAATTAAGAACCTTGACAAAAGTCAAGCAATTTTTGTCAGTTGAAGATTTAGAGAGAGTGATGCACGCATTTGTGACCTCACGTTTGGACTACTGTAATGCCCTGTATGCAGGGATTAATCAGTCGACGTTGACACGCTTGCAAATGGTCCAAAATGCCGCAGCTAGACTGCTGACAGGTCCCCGAAAGCGGAATCATATTACTCCAATTTTATTTTCATTACATTGGTTGCCGATCCGCTACAGGATTGATTTTAAGATTGTGTTGTTTGTTTTTAAATCGCTAAATGGTATGGCACCACCTTATCTCTCAGAGTTGTTGCAGATATACTCACCATCAAGATCACTTAGGTCTTCTGACCAGAAACTCTTAACTGTCCCAAAATCTAGACGTAAACTTTGGGGTGATCGTTCTTTTTCAGTGTTGGCTCCGAAACTCTGGAATAGTCTCCCTTTGCATATTAGAACTGCCTCCACTGTGGTATCTTTTAAATCTCTTTTAAAAACTCATCTCTTTTCTCTGGCTTTTCTGTCGAACTCTAACTGCTGATATGTTGGTGGCTTGTTTGTTTTGTGAGAGTTGTTAGATATGTGTATTGCATTGTATAAATGTTCTGTACATTTGCCCATGGCATGTTTTCAAAAATTGTACAGCACATTGGTCAACTACCCGTTGTTTTTAATTGTGCTTTATAAATAAATTACCTTACCTTACCTTACCTTGTCTTAAGTCCTCCACCATCATCCCTGTGCCCAAAAAGCCAAGGCCTATAGGACATAATGACTACAGACCCGTCGCCTTGACCTCAGTGGTAATGAAGTCCTTTGAGGGTCTGGTGCTGGCCCACTTCAAATCAATCACAGACTCTCTCCTGGATCCCCTGCAGTTTGCCTACAGAGCCAACAGGTCTGTGGACGACGCAATAAACATGGCCCTACACTTCATCCTCCAGCACCTGGACTTTCCGGCAACCTATGCCAGGATCTTGTTTGTGGACTTTAGTTCCGCCTTCAATAACATCATCCCTGCCCTGCTTCAGGACAAGCTCTCCCAGCTCAATGTACCGGATTCTACCTGCAGGTGGATCACAGACTTCCTGTCTGACAGGAAGCAGTGCGTTAAGCTGGGGTCACAAGTCTCTGTCCCCCGGTTCATCAGCACCGGCTCCCCTCAGGGCTGCGTCCTTTCTTCTCTGCTTTTCTCCCTATACACCAACAGCTGCACCTCCAGGCACCCTTCCGTCAAACTCTTGAAGTTTGCAGATGGCACCACCCTCATTGGGCTCATCTCCGATGGGGATGAGTCTGACTACAGGTGGGAAGCTGACAACCTTGTGTCCTGGTGTAGCCAGAACAACTTAGAGCTCAATGCTCTAAAGACCGTGGAGATGGTTGTGGACTTTAGAAGGAACACAGCCCCACCTACCCCCATCAACCTGTGCGACTCCCAAGTAAACACTGTGGAGTCCTTCTGTTTCCCTGGGTACTATCCTCTCCCAGAACCTAAAGTGGGAACTGAACGTCAGCTCCCTCGCCAAGAAAGCACTACAGCACCGGAGTGTTTATCAGAGTGGTATTTATGTCTTGAGTGTTTATCAGAGTGGTCACACTTGAACCACGAGCATTTTTCTACTGGATTCAAGGAATTTTGTGGTTGAAATTTTAAAACGTAACAAATCCACCCTCTCTGGTCAATTTGACCCCCTAAGGAATGCATGGAATGGGAGGAATGCTTCGGTATATATAGAAAAACCTAAAAATGCAGAAACTTTATCAAAAAGTTATTTTTATAATGTCTACGTGTTTCTCAAACACAGACAATCTCCCACCCTGATATTTAGATTATTTTATTCAATAAACAGATTTGTGTCTATGTGTGCATGTGCCTGGCTGACATAGATTCAAGGGCAGAAGAAAACTAACAGATACAACAGGTGCCAACGCAACTTTGGACATTTAATTGTTGTTGTCCGCCCAAATGCAAAATTCAAACGTATGCCTTCAATGCATTATAATTTTCATTGAATAAAAGTGTCTGCCAAATACAAATACCCTGAGAGGGTAGTTAAGAATCTGACAATTAAAAATACTTTTTTTACATGTTAGTCTTTTTTTTACAAAAAAAAAAAAGGCCAACATTAAGTGAAACTTGAACATGAATTTACATTGGATTAAGAAAACAGACAGTGAAGACTTGACCATTTTTTTCAGAACTCTGGCACTGAAGAATAACTTCTTCCATCAGATGTCATGAATCTCAGTTTGTTTTTGCTTTAATCAGTGGTCAAGACCTGCAGCCCCACTGAGTTCAGCTGTGGTGATAAACGCAAAACATGTCTGCCTATGAGATGGAGGTGTGATGGTGACCAGGACTGTCTGAATGGTGTGGATGAGAAAGGCTGTGGTGAGTCTCTTTAAATCTCATCTTTCTGTTGCCACAGATACAAACTTTATCTAAGTATGCAAACCCAGACAGATCGAAAGTGTTCTCTGTAAGCTGGTCCTGCAGTGCGCTATCAGAGCGCCTCTGAAATTCAGCTAAGTGAAACATCTTTCATTATTTTAAGTGTTTGCTGAAAGCATTTGTATATTCGAGGAATCCAGTGCTGCTAAATCATTTTTAATAAATAAATATAGTAATTACAATGCAAATAATAAAACATACAAGGCTTGGACCACAATAACAGAGTTGCTAGGTAACATTCTCCTCTTTCTCTTGAAAACATTAGTTTCTCAAGATGAAGATGTGCCAGTCACAGGCAAGAACCAAACAGTGCAAAATGAAGGTAAAGCTTATGCTTAAAATCTTACAACTAATGAAATTTGTGATGCAATTGAATGTATCTTTTTGATTGAGATTTAAGAGCCAGAGCAACGTTTTTCATATGACAATGCAAATAAATGATCAAATTAAAACACCTTTAACCCTTGCGACTAACATAATAACGAAAATGGCCATTAAAATGTTTATGGTCCTGAATGAGAAACAGTCACACTGTTTAAGAAAACAGACAGTGAGGACTTTGCCTCACTGAAGTATAACTTCTGCCAACAGATGTCATGATTCTCAGTTTGTTTTTGCTTTGATCAGAGTTCAAGACCTATAGATCTAGTCATTTCAGCTGTGGTGATGAACGCAAATCACGTGTGCCTATAATATGGAGGTGTGATGGTGAGAAGGACTGCCCGAATAATGCGGATGAGGAAGGCTGTGGTGAGTGACATCTCTTTAAATCTCATCTTTTCTGCACATACCTAGATGAACATAGTTAAAAATTGTGGCCCTGTCCCAAATGGCACACTTCATAAGCACTTTCAGTCTTTTGGACTTACAATGGCTGCCGTGTGTCCGTTAAGTCCAAGAACGTAGGGTGTCCATTTAGTCATTTTAGGTTTCTGAAGGGTGCTCGTGAGTTTTTAGACATGGGACAGTCTTGCACACTTACTTCCTGTCTTCCTGTCGCACTTACTTCCTGTCGCACGCTCTCTTAAGTGGCCAAGACTGCAAGTGTGGGTATTTGGAAAGGCCCTGAAGTGTGCATGTGCCTGGCCGACATAGACTCAAGAGCTGCAGAAGAAGAAGAAAACTAACAGATACAACAGGTGCCAACGCACCTTTGGACATTAAAATGTTGTTGTCAGTCCATATGCAAAATTCACATGCATATGAACTGATAAAGATGTATGCCTTCAATACAGCATACTTTTCATTTTAATAAAAGTGTCTGCCAAATACAAATACCCTGAGAGGGTTGTTGAGAATCTGACAATTACAAATACTTTTTTTTACATGTTAGTCTGTGCACCTGCCTTTAACCTGTGCATCAGATAATCAAATCTGTCATAAATAGATTTATATAGGTGATATTTTGGAATCAGTGTAAAAATGCTTAAAACACTTAAGATTTATACTCGGTTTTATTAAATACATTGCAAATGTAAACATATAAATTACTATTGTATTGGATGCTATTGATAGTGTAAGAAATGTTTATTATTATTATTTATTTATTTAATTTAGAAAAAATGGCCAACATTAAGTGAAACTTGAACATGAATTTACAACCCGAATTCCGGAAAAGTTTGGACGTTTTTTAAATTTGAATAAAATGAAAACTATAAGACTTTCAAATCACATGAGCCAATATTTTATTCACAATAGAACATAGATAACATAACAAATGTTTAAACTGAGAAGTTTTACACTTTTATCCACTAAATGAGCTCATTTCAAATTTGATGCCTGCTACAGGTCTCAAAATAGTTGGGACGGGGGCAACAAATGGTTGAAAAAGCAAAGAAAATAAGAAAGGATTCAAGTGGGAGAACATCTAGCAACTAATTAAGTTCATTTATATCAGGTCTGTAACATGATTAGCTATAAAAGGGATGTCTTAGAGAGGTAGAGGCTCTCAGAAGTAAAGATGGGCAGAGGCTCTCCAATCTGTGAAAGAGTGCGTAAAAAGATTGTGGAACACTTTAAAAACAATGTTCCTCAACGTCAAATTGCAAAGGCTTTACAAATCTCATCATCTACAGTGCACAACATCATCAAAAGATTCAGAGAAACTGGAGAAATCTCTGTGCGTAAGGGACAAGGCCAAAGACCTTTATTGGATGCCCGTGGTCTTCGGGCCCTCAGACACTGCATCACTCATCGGGATGATTGTGTGAATGACATTACTAAATGGGCCCAGGAATACTTCCAGAAACCACTGTCGGTAAACACAATCCGCCGTGCCATCTCCAGATGCCAACTAAAGCTCTATCATGCAAAAAGGAAGCCATATGTGAACATGGTCCAGAAGCGCCGTCGTGTCCTGTGGGCCAAGGCTCATTTAAAATGGACTATTTCAAAGTGGAAAAGTATTCTATGGTCCGACGAGTCCAAATTTGACATTCTTGTTGGAAATCACGGACGCCGTGTCCTCCGGGCAAAAGAAGAGGGAGACCTTCCAATCGTGTTATCAGCGTTCAGTTCAAAAGCCAGCATCTCTGATGGTATGGGGGTGCATAAGTGCATACGGTATGGGCAGCTTGCATGTTTTGGAAGGCACTATGAATGCTGAAAGCTATATAAAGGTTTTAGAGCAACATATGCTCCCCTTCAGACGACGTCTATTTCAGGGAAGGCCTTGTGTATTTCAGCAGGACAATGCAAAACCACATACTGCAGCTATTACAACTGCATGGCTACATCGTAGAAGAGTCCGAGCGTTGAATTGGCCTGCCTGCAGTCCAGATCTTTCACCTATAGAGAACATTTGGCGCATCATTAAACGAAAAATGCGTCAAAGACGACCACGAACACTTCAGCAGCTGGAAACCTATATAAGGCAAGAATGGGACCAAATTCCAACACCAAAACTCCAGACACTCATAAACTCGATGCCCAGACGTCTTCAAACTGTTTTGAAAAGAAGAGGAGATGTTACACCATGGTAAACGTGCCCCCGTCCCAACTATTTTGAGACCTGTAGCAGGCATCAAATTTAAAATGGGCTCATTTATTGGATAAAAGTGTAAATTTTCTCAGTTTAAACATTTGTTATGTTATCTAAGTTCTATTGTGAATAAAATATTGGCTCATGTGATTTGAAAGTCGTATAGTTTTCATTTTATTCAAATTTAAAAAACGTCCCAACTTTTCCGGAATTCGGGTTGTACATTGGATTAAGAAAACAGACAGTGAAGACTTGACCATTTTTTTCAGAACTCTGGCACTGAAGCATAACTTCTGCCATCAGATGTCATGAATCTCAGTTTGTTTTTGCTTTGATCAGTGGTCAAGACCTGCAGCCCCACTGAGTTCAGCTGTGGTGATAAACTCAAAACATGTCTGCCTATGAGATGGAGGTGTGATGGTGACCAGGACTGTCTGAATGGTGTGGATGAGAAAGGCTGTGGTGAGTCTCTTTAAATCTCATCTTTCTGTTGCCACAGATACAAACTTTATCTAAGTATGCAAACCCAGACAGATCGAAAGTGTTCTCTGTAAGCTGGTCCTTCATGCGCTATCAGAGCGCCTCTGAAATTCAGCTAAGTGAAACATCTTTCATTATTTTAAGTGTTTGCTGAAAGCATTTGTATATTCGAGGAATCCAGTGCTGCCAAATCAGTTTTAATAAATAAATATAGTAATTACAATGCAAATAATAAAACATACAAGGCTTGGACAACAGTAACAGAGTTGCTAGGTAACATTCTCCTCTTTCTCTTGAAAACATTAGTTTCTCAAGATGAAGATGTGCCAGTCACAAGCAAGAACCAAACAGTGCAAAATGAAGGTAAAGCTTATGCTTACAATCTTACAACTAATTAAATTTGTGATGCAATTGAATGTATCTTTTTGATTGAGATTTAAGAGCCAGAGCAACGTTTTTCATATGACAATGCAAATAAATGATCAAATTAAAACACCTTTAACCCTTGCGACTAACATAATAACGAAAATGGCCATTAAAATGTTTATGGTCCTGAATGAGAAACAGTCGCACTGTTTAAGAAAACAGACAGTGAGGACTTTGCCTCACTGAAGTATAACTTCTGCCAACAGATGTCATGATTCTCAGTTTGTTTTTGCTTTGATCAGAGTTCAAGACCTATAGATCTAGTCATTTTAGCTGTGGTGATGAACGCAAATCACGTCTGCCTATAATATGGAGGTGTGATGGTGAGAAGGACTGCCCGAATAATGCGGATGAGGAAGGCTGTGGTGAGTGACATCTCTTTAAATCTCATCTTTTCTGCACATACCTAGATGAACATAGTTAAAAATTGTGGCCCTGTCCCAAATGGCACACTTCATAAGCAATTTCAGTCTTTTGGACTTACAATGGCTGCCGCGTGTCCGTTAAGTCCAAGAGAACGTAGGGTGTCCATTTAGTCATTTTAGGTTTCTGAAGGGTGCTCGTGAGTTTTTAGACATGGGACAGTCTTGCACACCTACTTCCTGTCGCATGCACACTCTCTTAAGTGGCCAAGACTGCAAGTGTGGGTATTTGGAAAGGCCCTGAAGTGTGCATGTGCCTGGCTGACATAGACTCAAGAGCTGCAGAAGAAGAAGAAAACTAACAGATACAACAGGTGCCAACGCACCTTTGGACATTAAAATGTTGTTGTCAGTCCATATGCAAAATTCACATGCATATGAACTGATAAAGATGTATGCCTTCAATACAGCATACTTTTCATTTTAATAAAAGTGTCTGCCAAATACAAATACCCTGAGAGGGTTGTTGAGAATCTGACAATTAAAATACTTTTTTTACATGTTAGTCTGTGCACCTGTCTTTAACCTGTGCATTAGATAATAAAATCTGTCATAAATAGATTTATATAGGTGATATTTTGGAATCAGTGTGTAGAAATGCTTAAAACACTTAAGATTTATACTCGGTTTTATTAAATACATTGCAAATGTAAACATATAAATTACTATTGAATTGGATGCTATTGATAGTGTAAGAAATGTTTATTATTATTATTATTTTTTATTTATTTAATTTAGGAAAAAATGGCTAACATTAAGTGAAACTTGAACATGAATTTACATTGGATTAAGAAAACAGACAGTGAAGACTTGACCATTTTTTCAGAACTCTGCACTGAAGTATAACTTCTGCCATCAGATGTCATGAATCTCAGTTTGTTTTTGCTTTAATCAGTGGTCAAGACCTGCAGCCCCACTGAGTTCAGCTGTGGTGATAAACGCAAAACATGTCTGCCTATGAGATGGAGGTGTGATGGTGACATGGACTGTCTGAATGGTGTGGATGAGGAAGGCTGTGGTGAGTCTCTTTAAATCTCATCTTTCTGTTGCCACAGATACAAACTTTATCTAAGTATGCAAACCCAGACAGATCGAAAGTGTTCTCTGTAAGCTGGTCCTGCAGTGCGCTATCAGAGCGCCTCTGAAATTCAGCTAAGTGAAACATCTTTCATTATTTTAAGTGTTTGCTGAAAGCATTTGTATATTCGAGGAATCCAGTGCTGCCAAATCAGTTTTAAAGGTGCTATATGTATGTTTTAGCGGCCTCTATCGGTGACGTTTTAGATTGCAACCAATTTTTACAAGAGCGCTCGTGCTCTTGCACGTGCTCGAACACAAGAGCGAGCACTCATGGTACTGGCCACACTGAGACTTTCAACACACCGGAGAAAGCATCACACAACATGCTGGAAACTCATGTAAACTCCCACTGCAACGTTACAGTAATAGGCTACTTTTATCAGCTTGACGTTGAACTAATGCTCCATGCTCGTACCATGATAAGTTACATTACATTGACTGCATTTAGCCGACATGTGGTGTTATCTAGCATAAGGCATTTCACTAACTATTTGTGTATCTTTCACAATCAGCAATGTCAACATAGGTGAATGTATAATATAATAACGAAAACGGTTAGTGAACTAGACTGAACAATTTCAGTGTAACAGTAAGATCGTAGGAAGTAGGGGTGTCGCAATATACCGGTGTTGACGATAATCGTGATATTCAAAGCATGAAATATCGACATCGTGTTAATTTAGAGTGTGGCAATATACCGGTATTGGCGATAACCACGATGTTTAAAATGAATAGGACTGTTATGATAACATGACACGTAAATACTCCAGCGCGAGTCCCTGGTTGACCTCTCAGGTGGCTGTATTGCACCCGCTGACACCTATCAAACAAGAAGACGCAGCCCGGGCCGCGCAGCTACTCTGAGAAGAACGTCGTCTGAGCGAGAGAGTGAAACACTCTGTCCACACCCGAAAAAAGTAAGCTTGCCTGTATGGGAGTTCTTCGGCTCAAAAGAAAACAGCACTTTAAAGGAGGTCGCACACCGGACGAGAAGCGCAGCACCACGTCTTTAAAATTCTAGTGTACACACACAAGGCGTCCGGCGGTGCCATTCGGCATCTGTCTGCGGCGCCCAGCAACGGCTCTTGTTCAAAATCCTGCCGCGACACAGAGCGCCATTTACATTTTATATTAAATTTACATTATATTTGTCTCAAATCATCGTAAATGACTGTGCTGCAATGTACATTTAGTTTTACATTAATTTACAGAAATCAGCTGCTTGAATGAAAATTGCAATGTTATCGGATTTTCAGGTGATATTCTCAATTCATTCAGTTAATGGATGCTCTGAGGTAAAGTGTTCAGATCACAGACTCAGCAACTATTGTTTTTAATTGTACAGTACAATCATAACATAGTACAGACATTATCTTAATTTCATAATCTCCTTAAACATAAGAATACTGCTGGCCATAAACTGAGAAAGTGCGCGTCTGGTGTGCGATACCTCGAGTTGTCCTACACGCGATGCGGCGCTGCAGAATGTGTAGCCACCAACCTTTTTACCCATCTCCGTGTCCATCACCCTGCGGATTACGCAATTTTACAGAGAATACATTGCGATTATTTTACTAGTCATGGAATGGGAAAGGTGACATTAACCTGTTAACAGGGGGTTTCTGTGTTCATACATTTAATAAAGGGTGATTATTAAGAACCATCTTATTTTTGTATTTGTATTTGCACTTGATTTTTCTTTTTTTATATTACCCCCCCCCCCCCCCCCCCCCCCCCCCCTGTTTCCATTTTCCATTATTTCAGCATATCTGAAAACTTGTAATTTGTCACAATAAAAATAGCGGAGGTCTCTCCATAATTCAAACGCTCTGCCGATGTTGATCCGTGTTTTCGTCCTAAGTCGATCCGATTCACGTTTGGCCTGACGAGCTTCAGCAGATACATTTTTGTTTTGTTTTGTTTTTTATATTTATGTGGAGTTTGTGTTGGAGTCTGTGTTGTGCTGGAGGCAGGTCGTTTGGGTGTTATCAGACTCCATGTCGTTAGCTGCAGTGCCGTCGCATAGACTGTATATAAAAACGAGAGAGGCTCGGGAGCGTGCATGCACGTCACATCCAATGGATTTCGCAGAAAATCTGACCCGGAGACTTCACATAGAAATAGGAATACTGGCCTTCAGACTCAGAGGTAATAGCAAAACCCGTCAAGTGGATCATTGTAATGTGTGATTACAACCCCTTCACACACAGGCAATAAAAAAAGGATTCATTTTAGAAGAAAAGTTACATATAGCACCTTTAATGAATAAATATAGTAATTACAATGCAAATAATAAAACATACAAGGCATGGACCACAATAACAGAGTTGCAAGGTAACATTCTCCTCTCTCTCTTGAAAACATTAGTTTCTCAAGATGAAGATGTGCCAGTCACAAGCAAGTCCAAAATGATAAAAGCTCATGCTTACAATCTTACAACTACTGAAATTTGTGATGCAATATCTTTTTGATTGAGATTTAAGAGCCAGAGCAAAGTTTTTCATATGACAATGCAAATAAATGATCAAATTAAAACACCTTTAACCCTTGCGACTAACACAATAACGAAAATGGCCAGAGAGGCTTCCGCCGTAACCATTTGGCGACGGAAAACTGCACCCATGCCGACCCCTTTCCGAAGGAAGAGAGGGTCCCGCCAAATTGAAAGGGCACGGAAGCAACTGCACGACACCTTCAACAGGCGAAGAGCCGGTCCTGTGGACCGGGCACCTGAGAGTTTCATCCACCACAGAAACGGTCTCATGCACAGGGGATGCTGCGGCCATGAGACCCAGAAGCCTGCGCCAAGTGCCCACAGAAACACGATGGTCGAGCGTGAAGCGAGCCAAGCATGTCAAAAGACTGGAAATCCGGGCAGGAGCCAAACGGGCCTGCATCAGAACGGAATCCAGGCGCACCCCTAAGAAAACTGTGCTTTGAGTTGGGGTAAGAACACTCTTCTCTGTGTTCAACCTCAGGCCGAGAGACTGAATGTGACGAAGGACAATGTCCCTGTGGTGAGTCACTAATTCCCTGGAGTGGGCTAAAAGGAGCCAATCGTCCAGGTAGTTGAGTATACGGATGCCCTGGAGCCGCAACGGGGCCAGAGCAGCATCCATACACTTTGTGAACATTCTCGGCGCTAGAGCGAGACCAAAGGGAAGGACCCTGTACTGGTACGCCCTCTCTCCAAAGGCAAACCTGAGTCGCCGTACGACCTGAATATGAAAATATGCATCCTTCAGGTCTACTGTCACGAACCAGTCCCCTGCTCGAATTTGAGATATGATAGCTTTTAGCGTCAACATCTTGAATTTCCCTTTGTAAAGGGAGAAATTTAGCCGGCGCAGGTCTAGTATCGGTCGCAGACCTCCGCCCTTTTTCGGGACCAAGAAGTAACGGCTGAAGAAGCCTTGCTCGATTTCCTTCGGAGGAACCTTTTCTATTGCTCCCTTGAGGAGAAGGGACGAAATCTCCTGCTGTAGTACAGAAGCCTCTGAGGCGCTGTTGACTACAGTTGGAAAGACTCTGTTGAAGCAAGGGGGCGGGCGACAGAACTGAAGTGTGTAGCCGAGCCGAACCGTGCGGAGGATCCAAGGCGACGCCTCCATTCTTGAAAGAAATGAGATGAGAGGAAGTGTAGTGTTGCAATGCGGCGAACATACCTGTGTTAGGGTGACGTGCTGACTCCTGTGGGGTGGCGTGGTCCAACGTGAAAGAGAGCACTTGACGTCCCGACACGTAGTGGGAGGTACCACTTCCTGTTTGATCAAGATCATAGGGTCTGCCTGATCCTGAGGAAAACCGAAAGTGTCTCCGAGGATGCGAGCGGCAGGTATCAAACGCGTCGGAGGCAAGGGGAGAAAGCTGAACGCGTCTCCTTCCTACTGCGCCAAACGGTTTGAACGAGGTTGAGTAGTAACTGCACCTCGAAACACGCTGGGTGGCGAAACTGACAGGTTTAGAGAAGTAGAGCAAGTGAGAGGTGGGCAGAAACGCTTGCACGGTCTGTCCCAACCTCGTAAATCGGGGGAAGCTCTCCTTTTTCTGACCTGCGGGTCAGGAACGATTCGAGGAGGCTGGAGCGAAGGGTTTGTTAGACCGCTTCAGCTCCAGACGCTTATGAGGTCGCTGGCGGGGAAACGGGCGACCGCGGGCTCCCCAAACCCGTAGCAGGTGGGGGATGAGCCGAGTCACTTCTCCTAGTGACAAAATCCGGCCTATGAGAAGAACGTTTATCTCGGTTGAGACGGGGAGAAGTTAGAGGATTCCCTAGACTAGAGGATGTTGACCGCCTCCCCAAACAGTCCAGATTGAGAAACTGGGGCGTCCAAGAGGAAAACCTTCTCTTTGTCACGGATCTCCATGAGATTGAGCCATAGGTGGCGCTTTGCAGCAATCGCATAGAATCGCAATCGTTTGCATAGAACGACCTATAGCGCGTGCGGTGTGCTTGTTGGCTCTTAAGGCCAGATCCGTGGCCTTACGAAGCTCTTTGACAGCTTCTGCCATAATTCCTGTTCCCTCGTCCATCTCCTTCAAGACATCCGCCTGGTAGGCTTGGAGGATGGCCATAGGAAGTAGTCCTGCACGGTTTAGAGGGAAGGAGGGGGCGAGCTTTCCACGACGGAGCAGACGACGGAGAAAGGTGAGTAGCCAACGTGTCCTCAACCGCTGGAATGGCGGAATAGCCCTGCTCCACAGAACCAACGAGGTTGGTGAAGTCAGCGGCTGCCGCGTTTGTTAGACGCGCGGAAAAAGGCTGCTTCCAGGATCTGGAGATCTCGTGATGCAGATCACTGAACAAGGGCAGCTTTCTCCGCTCAGGCCTAGAATTAGGGCCACTTAAAAATCTCTCGTCGAGTTTAGACGATTGTGACTCGCGGGGCTCTTCGGCCCAGTCGATAGAGAGCTTCTCTGTAGCGCGCGAAAGCACGTCGATAAGCTCCGTGTAGGCCACAGTAGGCCGCGCCTCCTGGCCGCTAGGCGGGAGACCGTCAGTAGCTAAAGCAGGCCCGAAATCCTTGGAGTCGGACGCTGTAGTGTAAATAATATCCTCCAGCCCGAAAGAAACTGTCTCGCGTGCTCTCGGGCTGGGGCATAAATAATCATGCGAAAACTCGACTGGCCGAACACCGCGTGCGTGCTCGGGAGAGGGAGGGAGAGAAAGGGCCTGGCCCGTCTGCTCGTACTCTATATCCTCGAGCTCTACATCCGAACCCCAGGTTGCGGATTCCAACGAGGCCTCGGCAGCCTCGGGAGTGCGACGGGGGGGAACAAATGACTCCTTCTCAAAAACCACGAGTCGAGAGCGGAGGGTTTTAAGCAGGTTGTCACAAAACTTGCATTTAGACAAGCCTAAAACAGCCTAAGATTTATACTCGGTTTTATTAAATACATTGCAAATCTAAACATATAAATTACTATTGTATTGGATGCTATTGATAGTGTAAGAAATGTTTATTATAATTATGATGTATTTATTTAATTTAGAAAAAATGGCCAACATTAAGTGAAACTTGAACATGAATTTACATTGGATTAGGAAAACAGACAGTAAAGACTTGACCATTTTTTCAGAACTCTGGCACTGAAGTATAACTTCTGCCATCAGATGTCATGAATCTCAGTTTGTTTTTGCTTTAATCAGTGGTCAAGACCTGCAGCCCCACTGAGTTCAGCTGTGGTGATAAACGCAAAACATGTCTGCCTATGAGATGGAGGTGTGATGGTGACATGGACTGTCTGAATGGTGTGGATGAGAAAGGCTGTGGTGAGTCTCTTTAAATCTCATCTTTCTGTTGCCACAGATACAAACTTTATCTAAGTATGCAAACCCAGACAGATCGAAAGTGTTCTCTGTAAGCTGGTCCTGCAGTGCGCTATCAGAGCGCCTCTGAAATTCAGCTAAGTGAAACATCTTTCATTATTTTAAGTGTTTGCTGAAAGCATTTGTATATTCGAGGAATCCAGTGCTGCCAAATCAGTTTTGATTAATAAATAAATATAGTAATTACAATGCAAATAATAAAACATACAAGGTAACACTAACCACAATAACAGAGTTGCTAGGTAACATTCTCCTCTCTCTCTCTTGATAACATTAGTCACTCAACATGAAGATGCGCCAGTCACAAGCAAGAACCGAACAGTGCAAAATGAAGGTAAACAGTATTCTGCCAGAGAATCTTTTACAACAAACAGTGTTTCTGTCACACCCTAATGTCGCTAATGTTTTTATTTTTTAATTAAGATGATTTGGGAAGCACTCAGGTGACACCTGCGGCAAGTGGCTCGGACACTGAGACACACAAAGACCCTCCAACCAGCATTACCATAAATCATATACTGGAGAAACAAGACTAAACTAATTTTAGTAATACAAAATCTGAAATTTGAGTAAACTAAAGTTGGAGCTACAAAACCTTGGAAATGAAGTGTAGATCTCGTTGACAGTTGACCAAGAATGAATTCATCAATGAATTGTATTTGACAATTTCTGAGATATCCCTATAGACTTAACACTCTAATGATAACTATAAGGATAAAGATAACTATACTAGACGTAAGCTCCACCCATTTGCTCTGCAGTGAGCAGCCTCTCGGCTACTTTGCTGGGAGACAAGCAGACGTAGCCTATGTGTGTGAGGAAATATCATATATTATGTTAAAAAATAAATAAATAACAGCGCATGAGAACAGTTCCAGTCTCTGTTTTTATTTGAGCATCGTCCGATACACCTAAGAACATTCTGTTGTCGTTTACTGACAATTTTTCAGGGACTGTTTTTCTGGCGGAAAGATGGCATTTAATGATTTAACTTTAAATTAAATATGTTATATGTTTTCTATGGTAACAGCAGTTCCCATATTCAGAACCTAATTCAGATTCACAGCATAAGATTTGCAAAACATTTTCATAAATGCACAAGTTTTGTTCTACATGTGCATCAGACTCAACATCAGGGAACGTCAGGTCTAGTTTTACCCTATAAAGCTGAGTTTCAGAATATTTATAAAAATGAATTCAAAGCCCTTTTTATTATTATTTTTTTTTTTACCTCTGGGTATCACTTAAACATAAAAGCTGTCAATAAAGCATTTTTTGTTTGTTTTTTGTTTAGACTGTTTCTCGTCAAAGGCTAAAGGAGATCTGTAAACTGGTAATTGTAGTTTGATACTGGCAAAAATTCCTCATCCGTTTACAAAAATGTTCTACATTCACAGGTTTAAAATACAGGTCCTTCAGATGTACTGATAGTTTTCATTCGAAATATCTCAAATATATTTGAAGTGTCCTCTAAAATAGTAGCCACAAGTCACTCGAAGTAATCAAGTCTTCAAAATGTTGTAATAAATAAACTACAGAGTAAAATATATCTAACAATTGTTAAAGTCCCCTTGTGGTGAAAATCAAGCATTTATTTATGTCTATGTGGTGTGTTTAATATGCTTTAATACTTTTTACGTCGTTGTCAATCGATTGTGTAAACACTACAGCAGATCGGAACGTGCGCACTGTTGACGTTGACAGCAGCAGCGCGGATTGATAGAAATGGATAGAAAATAGTGCCGATTAAAACTGAGGTATGAATTTTGACCGGCGTGTTTTTTGTGTGGTAAATTAATCAAGCTTTGAAACGCAAATAATTTTTTCACGTAAAAACGCACAGTTTTGTGGCCCCGGAAAATAACCGGGAGTACTTTATTGAAAAACTTCCAGCGGCCAGAACTCTGACCAGGGAGGTGACAACAGAGTGGGTCAGTGTGTATGCACTATAGTGCTGGTAAGGATTGCATACAACTTCATGTCTTAAATGGGCGAACTAACCCTTTAAGACAAACCATGTGCAAATTCATTAGTCAACACCACTGCTGAGTATTCTCTCTTTAAAACTGCAGTGAACCAAAGATAGTCTCAAAAACGTTTATTCTTTTAAGGCATGAAAAAAATATTTTTTCACTGGACAAAAAAATAAAAATATGATATAAAAATGAAATGTCATTTTGGTGATCAAAGATGAGTTTTACAGCGGGACTTTAAGATAAAAGAATACAATTTAGGCCATCATAGTTCCAGACAAGTTTGCGGTTTACGGCACACTCCAGACCCATAGAGCAGAACTGCCCTCTATATTGATCATAACAGGCATCCTTCTAATCTCAGGAGGTCACACAGGGTTGCAATCTTATTCTTATCAAAATGTTAAACAAGTCACAATGCTAGGCTGTTGTTAAAGTGGTTGCCAAAGCATTGCTAAGATGTTCTGGGAGTTTGGGAAGGGAACCATAACAGGTGTGTTTTTTTGTATTTATTGTGCATGCTTTCTTTTTTAACACAAGGTGGTGCTGTTAGTCAAAACTAAACAAGTCTGACCTCATCAGGAATACACTGAACTGCTAAATGTTAAGTCTTTTGAGAACAGTGTCTAGTGAAAAAATGAATGGAGGCTCATCTTTACAGCGTTTCATTCCCCAACTTTTGAGTTAAGCTTGGAAAAAAAGCAAAAATAAATGAATAATAATAATCACAATGTGATTGTGATTGTCAAAACAAACTAAACAGAATTTCAGTTTAGTGACAACATGTTACAGTGTTTACATGGTAGCCTACAATAACTGGTAGCCTATTGTTTTTAGTGCTTGACTCAAATTTCAAGATTTCAATTCATAAGCTTGTAATTCGATTCCGATAAATATCAGGTACAGTAGCTACATATGAATTTTTCTCGAAGGAAAAAACCTCTCAACTAATGCTGTAAACATACAAAGAGCCCTGTCAGCTGGTATTATTATTAAAGGCTAAAATTAACAACTCAAATATAATGCAGGTTTTATAATAATAACAATGTTATCATCTTTTTCTTAGTGATATGAGTATAAATACATGTAATATGCTGCATATATTTATGTTTATCTATACTGCGATTTTTCTTGCTAACTATGTAAATGTAACATGACATTGTTTGGAGCCATTAGATGAGACATCCTTCATTTCAGTAAGTTTTACTCGTTCAACATTCCTTCTAATGTTCATTCCTGTTTATTTACTATTTTAACTATAGCAGTAAAGAGGAAGAGATGATTGGTTCAGGGGGCGTGCCACATTAAAGATTGCCAAAACGTTATTTATGGTTTGAATTTCTTAATGAAATAATAGAATTGAAAGCTGAGACTTTGTTTCTTATCAAAGTAAACCTGCTCTGTGAGTTTGCAGCCCTGTCTATTACAACAGATGTGTCCATATGGCTCAAACGTCATCATTTTATCAAAGTCTTTTATCAGGTTAATATTGTTTTGACTGATCTGTTTCCAGTGTCTTTATGCTTTGACGCACCTTAATCTCTCCCGAAATAACGAACTCTCTTTAAGTCAAATAATTACTTGATTGGCTTGTTCCTGTTTATGATGATGTTAGCTACATTGTGAACCTATTGGAACATCTTCAATGAAACATAGTGTACACTTTAAAGACCGAGAAACATTCCACCCATGTGATATAACACTTGAAAAATACCAGTTAGGACTAGAGCAAAGCAAAATATACAATGGGGTGAAATATTTCATGGAGTGAAGTGAAGACCAACTTTCACAGAATGAGAAAATATGAAAAAAGAAAAAAAAAGAAAAGGTAACTACCCAAAACTGGCTGAACTCCAAAAATAAGTAGCTAGACAGGAAGATCCATTATGGAAACAGCAAGAGGCCTACAGAAACCCTGAAGAAGTTACAGTAGCTTAGTATAAATCTGTCTGTGTGTCCGTCTGTCTATCTGTCTGTCTGTCTGTCTGTCTGTCTGTCTGTCTTCTACTGTCTGTCTATCTGTCTGTCTGTCTGTCTGTCTGTCTTCTACTGTCTGTCTATCTATCTGTCTGTCTATCTGTCTGTCTGTCTGTCTTCTACTGTCTGTCTTCTACTATCTATCTGTATGTCTGTCTATCTATCTATCTGTCTGTCTTCTACTGTCTGTCTATCTATCTGTCTGTCTATCTGTCTGTCTGTCTGTCTGTCTTCTACTGTCTGTCTTCTACTATCTATCTGTATGTCTGTCTATCTATCTATCTATCTATCTATCTAACTGTCTGTCTTCTACTATCTATCTATCTATCTATCTATCTATCTGTCTGTCTTCTACTGTCTGTCTGTCTGTCTATCTATCTGTCTGTCTTCTACTATCTATCTGTATGTCTATCTATCTAACTAACTGTCTGTCTTCTACTATCTATCTATCTGTCTGTCTTCTACTGTCTGTCTGTCTGTCTGTCTTCTACTGTCTGTCTATCTGTCTGTCTATCTGTCTGTCTGTCTTCTACTGTCTGTCTATCTATCTGTCTGTCTATCTGTCTGTCTGTCTGTCTTCTACTATCTATCTGTATGTCTGTCTATCTATCTATCTATCTATCTATCTAACTGTCTGTCTTCTACTATCTATCTATCTGTCTGTCTTCTACTGTCTGTCTGTCTATCTATCTGTCTGTCTTCTACTATCTATCTGTATGTCTATCTAACTAACTGTCTGTCTTCTACTATCTATCTATCTGTCTATCTATCTGTCTGTCTGTCTGTCTATCTATCTGTCGGTCTTCTACTGTCTATCTGTCTGTCTGTCTTCTACTATCTATCTGTCTATCTATCTAACTGTCTGTCTTCTACTATCTATCTATCTATCATCTGTCTGTCTGTCTATCTATCTATCTATCTATCTGTATGTCTGTCTGTCTGTCTGTCTATCTATCTGTCTGTCTTCTTCAATTCAATTCAATTCAAATTGCTTTATTGCCATGACTGTATATTACAATATTGCCAAAGCTTGGAATACATAGAATTATAAAGACATCAAAATACTCAAATTTTATAACATAAATTAAATTTAAATGTACAAATTAAATTAATTGTACAAGGGAACAGTGTAACAGATTAGAATATCTGTGAACATTTGATACCACAGTGTTTTAACATACATAAAACACACACACACATTACTGAGGGTCACTGTGGTGGACATTAGGGAAACACACTGAGGTCAGACACACACACACACACATTCACCTGCTGTCTCTCAGGCTGTGGCACACACACACGTATCTGGCAGCCAGTGCTGCGGTCTGTCCCTCTCCTACTATAATCTTTATCTGTTCTACTTCAGTCATGGCTGTAAAGTTCGGTATTAAGTTGTTGAGTTTGTTGAAGTAGAGGTCTCTGAGCTGTATTTGTGACAGTGAAGGAGGAAGTGTGTCTCTCACACTCTGGAGATATTCTTCCAATTCATAATTTGATTTAAAAGTTCGATAGAATTGTAGTTTACTTTGTGTTTTAGTTTCCTGATCCCAATGCCTATGGGCGTTTTGGTGAAACAGACAACAAAAGGGACATTATGTGTTCAGTTACACACTCATTTTTAATTGTTATTGATTTTGAAATTCTGTCATTATATATGCCTCAATGTTCAGGAATGTCCATGAACGGATCTCGTTCAAATACATGATATTTAATGTTGTAACATAATATAATGTGCTAAAGCCAGAGGAGGTGAAGAAATTGTATTTGTATGGAACTGATCAAGGTCTAAGTGTATGTTTGCACATGCTAACTAAATAACCTGATTTTCTCAAAGACCTTCTGTTACTCGCAGCGCACGGTCTGGTGATAAATTAAGGTGTGGCAAATGAGCTTATCAGTTATCAACACCGGTGACACAAAAACATGTCCAAGTCATATTTCATCCATAAATTATAAAAAGAAACTATTTTGAATTTAGAAAACAGCCTGTTTTGAGAATTGTGGGGGGGAAATTGCTTATTTGTCAATGGTTCATAAAAGCCTAATTATCTTTATGCAAAAGTATAACTGTTTCTTTCTATTGATTTTGAGATTGCATATGACCCAGGTGTGTTCATGACAGGTTTTGAGAGATTCGCCCTTAAATATTTTCTGTCTCTGCTTCGAGATCATACTAAATCTTTTGGGGTTTTGCTTTGACAGTCTGTGCTGAAAACAGTATTCATCATGACTGCATGGTTCAGATGTCCTGTATCCTATCAGGTGCTGGGGGAGGTATTTTACTAGGCCACTGGGACCCTGAGAACACTGAGACCTTATTGTTAACATCCCACCCCCTTTGACGGGATGTCATAATCGGCAGTCAGGGCTAGAGATTTTGACCGGGTTACTGTGGGAGTTTGCTTATAAAATATGTTTGTTCGGTTATCAAAGACTTGTCAGACCTGCTCAGTTTGTTACAAGAAAGTCAATTTGGGTTCGGTTTAAAAAAAAGCTTTGAGTAAAGATTTTATCATATGGTAAGATCTAGTCTGACTGTTTTTGCTCAACTAAAGCTTTTTATTTCATGACTAACGCAATCTGACTACTCAAGTTATACCAGCCAAATACATTTTTTTTTTAGGGTTAGACATGTAGGAGCTCCGCATGCTTTTTATATTTTAAAAATGACTTTTTTGATGGGATATTAAGTTACATATTCAGTTCTTTTAATCACTTCATATTCATTGTGTTTGCAGGTTAAACAGAGAATAACGCTCTCAACATTGACAATGCTGTTACTACAAACAAACTAAACTATGCAGGATGTGTAGTGAAAAAAGCATGAATGACACATTAAACTCCCAAACAAGCTTGAAAACACAACTTATGTGCTATTACTTTCTATTTGCAGAGTTTAATTGTTGATATAAGATATTGCTTCTGATGCTGAGTTGTTTCCACTCATTATTCTTGCTTTCACAATGATTTTTTTTTTGCATTTGGAACCTATTAGTGGCAACATAAAGCATCAGAAACTTACTTATTACACCCAAGTATAAAATGGCTTGTTTTGCTTAAAAACGTATAGAACTGGATTGTCGTTTTTTTTTTCCTCCTGTTTTGACAAGCTGGGAAGCTTCCCGGTAGCTATATTGATGTGAGTGATGGGTGGCAGAGTGACGGATCTGGTTTCCGATTGGAGCGAGATGCAGTTTTTCAGGTAAAAAAGAGAACAGATAAGCGTGTTCACCTCACTTGCTCTACACACAAACATTGGACTTTTTATTTGCACACAAACTTTCCTAGTAGGTGTTTTGCACACCACAAACCGTTCTGGCAGAAAATAAAGTCATTTTTGCAATATCTTTTCATAGTCTTGTAGTTTATTTCTTCTATACTGTTTATTTTTTCTAAGCTGTTATGCTTACCCAAAATGACCCACATATAAACTAAAACTACACTAACATTAATCAATTTATACAAGATGCATTCAATTGATCAAAAGTGACAGTAAAGACGTTTATAATGTTACAAAATGAACTTTTGATTCATCAAAGAATCCTGAAACTCCCCCCCCCCCCCCCCCCCAACATTTATAATAATAAATGTTTCTTGAACAGCAAATCATCATATTAAAGTGATTTCTGAAGGATCATGTGACACTGAAGATTGGAATAATGATGCTGAAAATTCAGCTTTGACATCACAGGAAAAATTGCATTTTAAAATAATATTCAATTAGAAAACAGTAAATTTCAATTTCAATAATATTTCACAATATTACTGTTTTATAGTATTTTAGATTATATAAATGCAGCTTTGATGGAAATTACAGACCACAAACTTTTGAACACATCAGCTGTTACTTTTTTTGATTACTCATACACTCATGACTTATACAACTACATTTTTATGGCCACAACGGTTTCATTTGTAGACCCGGATACCACTGTGAAGTTACTACTTTGTTTGTCTTCCTTTGACTTGAAAGATCATTGTGCTATTCCCATGGATGACAAACAGAATTTAAGAGAACTGGTTCTAGGGGCCTTCAGCTCCAACTTGCAAATATTTTTCCTCCTACAGCAAAGTTAGTCAAACTAAGTCTGTTTATGGTTTATGATGTGCTTTCAGTAACTTAACATTATTTCTGGCATGCCAGGACCAAGCATGCATGCTGTGGAGAAAATCTTGACCTCAATTTCTATCTAAAAAACATCTTGAAATTTTCAAAAATCTACTCAAGACCGGACAGGAAAAATGACAGGAAAACATTGCATTGTTTTGGTGAATGTCCAGTGTAGTTTAAGAAGACTCTGTGTTCTGATGACGTCCGGGCCACAAGTTCAAGGCTATATTGAGTACTTTTTACACAGTGTTTTTACCCTGCTGCTAATTTGTCTAGTAGTTAAACATTAGATAATGTGCCAAAAAAATGTTGATCACTTTCATAGACAATACTACATATGTGCACCCATTTGTTTGAAATGGATTCTATATAAAATGTGTCTAAGTGTTATTTGTTGTTTTCTATCCTACATAGGCCTAATCTATCGCCTACATCTGTATAATAGCCTAATCATAAACGCATTATAGGTTTTTAACACTCTAACAAAGATAACTGAGAATCTACCGAAAAGCAAACAGCCTATTATTATTATAATGTGTTTATGACTGCGGTTTCCTTTTACTTTCTAGGCATATGATATGACCATTAATGTAAGATAGTAGGGCTTAGATTTATGATTATTTTAGTTTTACGACATGTCAGCCTTGAGAGGTTTCACAGGATAGAACAGATAGGCCTACATGTTTACAATGGTTTACAGCAGAAGTCTCGTCCAGATATATTAGCATAACGCTTATCATCGTCACGTTTTCCACCATAAACGATAAGCAGGTAATTGATGAATATTTCTCATCACTCTAGACTTCTACTAGGAAACTGGAATTGTTTTTGATGGACGTGGACTTTGACCACGCCCTCTATTGTGAAACTCTTAAATCACACCACCTAATTCTGATTCACCCCAGTCACTAAGCCCCGCCCACTCTACGTACCCCGTTCAAATTCGAATGGTTCAAGTTCAACCACCACAACCACAACACAAATGCCATAAGTAACCATTTCTCCTGCAGCGTCAGACAAACAGGATTTCTTCTGCTTTAACAGCGCCTTTTATTTATTACAAACATACAAACCACATCAATAAACAGAGAAACGAGGGGCTTCAGCTCATTGAGAGACAATGGGGATCTCAGTAATGTTTTTACTGGCAGTTACATTCTTCTGTCCTGTTCATACAGGTGAGTAAACAGGTTTTCTTTTTCTTTAGGGGGTCTTTAATGATCATTAATTACATTTTATTATTTGTTCGTACGTACTAGGCTACTTATAGCTATTATAGGTTATAGCCTAATCTTATTAGTAGCCTATATATAGGCTAAATGTATTTTAACCTCGAAATTGTTTTCAGTATTCTACATATTCAGTTACAATGAAGTGGCCGATCTGGTCTGTAAAGTTGGATTAACCAAAAAGTTTATTTTTTATATAGGCTATATATAACTAATTATGCATTAATAAATACCATAATATTTCCCTTTCTGCTTTGATGATGTTTACATAATTATTTCCTACTCTTATTAGCTCATACATTTTTTTTTAAATATATAGAAATATATTCTGATTAGATTATTATGTGTTAGAATCTGATGTTTAATGATGCTAAATGTTGAGTGCTTTTCAGAGGTGTTATTGCTTTCTATTGAATGCAAAGTAAACCTATGCATCACTCACTACTGTTTTGCTGAACATGAATGAATTCTCCAGCCTCACAAAGCAGGGCAAAACATAGTATAGTCTTACAGTAACCACGTGTGTGTATATACTGTGCATGTTTCTGCTATAGGGGCCTCATTCCATAGTGATTTCGCACTCATGCTTTCCCAGAAGTTTTGAATCATTTACAGTGTATGTCATAAGGACAGTAGTAGCATAGATCCATGAAATGAACCAGAAACCAGTAGGAACTGCAGTTTTCAAACTTTTCAAACAGGCTTCAAACTTACATTTGACTAAAAAGATGCATTACTCATTTTGTCAGATTAGAACAATAAAGGTTTAAAGGAAACATATGGCTATACTTATGTCGTATGGTCTCTCAGTGTTGGTTTGGCAGGTCTTTCTGGATCGGTGAAGATGAACCGAATAAGCTGAGGAGGGATACTTGAATAGCTGCTATTGTTTAGATGTTTTTTTGTTGAGATGTCATTTTTGGCATTCTTTTTCTAGAAAAACATCTATAAAACACAATAAAAACCTACATGCATACAGTCATCATTACCTTCAGCTGTAGCTACAGTATGTTCGGGTGTAATTGTAGATGTAAGCTTAGACAGGCTTCAAACTTCATATTATTAACAGGTCTCGTGAGATTCACCCATGTACACTACATTTATGTTGACCTAACTGTTATGGTCGGACAGATCATTTTATAGGTAGACAACAGCACTGATGGTTTTATTGAACACTGTTAACCTCATTCACATGGGAGAAAGTTGAAAGATATATTAGAGAAAGATATGCTCCTTTACTCTCTTATGTTGATGCCATGCAGACTCTAGCAAAGCAAGAACAATAGACCACAAATACTCCATTAAATGAAAAGATAGCCTTCTCGTAGGCCAGAAGGTTTCTTGAAGATATCACTTATGCATTATAGTTTCCGATGCAATATGATAAAGCAGATACATAACTCCGTTGGATTGGCTTCCAAGTGTTTTGATCCACCGTGAAGATATCTTGATAGTATAGACTGTTTAGATAATCAGACGCATTGAGTGTCGAGAATGATGTCCATGAAAAAAGCAAACAGCCACATTGCATTTTGTGGCCACCAACTTCAACCGTGTCTGTAAACAATGAACAATGCATTGTGCTTTGGAGAGATGATGTGTGATGTCAAAGCAAGGTCATAAACAGAGTTTTATATCAATGGAAGGTTTGTCTTTCAATACAGATAAGACCTGTCTACATGTTAAATTTCTGTAATCATTAATAAAGTTTTATGTTCACATTTGAATGATAAAATAAAACCCTGAATCCTTATTGGATGATCCCAGTTTGAAGGTGTTGTAAAATGGTCGATAAAGTTAATATTTTTCTATATTGTGAATATAGTGTGAAGTTGCTGCATTGCTTAGCAAACCTACAGTAAGGCTAATGAACTATACTACTTGATGTAAGAGCTGTTTTTTTGTGATTTATTTATTTTAAAACTACAAATGTTTATCTAATAATATCAATTCTGTTAACAAATGCATTGTTTATTGAAATTTATTACAAAAGTGATAAGGTTGTGTGTACAGCAATTTTGCTACTTTTGAAGCAAAAAAGAACATCCTGTTAAAGAATATCCTGACGGCTTTGAATAGACTCTAATAAACGTCACATAAGTCTTCATCATATGCAGAATATCTTCTTTAGGTATTTTTGTTTGATTGTATCATCAATTAAAATGGTTACTACTTTCACTAAAAGTCAGCCATTTTACATGCAGCTTAAGTGCATGTATAGTGCATAGTGCATGCACGCATGCTCCAGAACTAAGACTAGACACCCATTTTTGGGTAACAAAGCAGGAAAAACTTGTTTCAATGCTTGTTGAAATCAGTTCCCCTTCCCAGTCTTAGCACTAGACTGTGTATTGTGATATGCTTAGATAGCAGGACCAAGGAAGATGTCTTATAGACAATATAAGGTGCAAAAGTGATTAATTCAGTCCTAGCCCCCTGGTATTTTAGCTCTTTAATGTGACCACAAATTACTAAAATAGCTGGCTTAAGATGTTAGAAAATTCTTGTCATTTATGTGAAGCATCACTTATGTGTCCATCTGTCAGGTGTCTTGACTTGTGATCCACGGCAGTACAAGTGTGGCAATGGAAAGTGCATCACATCCAGATGGGTTTGTGATGAAGCTGATGACTGTGGAGACGGCACTGATGAACTTCCTGCTGCCTGCTGTAAGTCTTCCTCCACCTAAGATTAGTCAAATGTCCTGAAGAAGAAGTATGTTGGTGTAACATTAACGACAGTAGGCGCAAATGGAATCTGCAAGCTTTCAGTAAAATCTTCTTGCACTGATTGTGAGGGGGCGTATTGTAAAAAAAGTATTTCAATGTGGTTAACTATGTTAATCTATAGGTGAAAATGATAAACTCTTATTGTTAGCTGAAAGGAATGTATTACTTCAAAAATGTTGTGGGCACACGTACAGAAAATGAATTTGATAGGGCTATCTCTGTTTCTAGCCCATACATATAAGCTGATCATTATTTTGATGTTATGTTTGATACTTAAAATTCTCTATTATTTTGTTAAAACAAGCTAAAAGTAAAATTCACTTTGAGATTATCCATTTTACATTTAATAGTGTTATTACATTTTTAGTGTTGTTAAAAAATAAGTGAGAGCTAGGTTGTTGAGGTGTAAAAAGGTCATCTAAATTTAAAAATAAGCTGGAAAGAGCATGAATTAAATATCCAATATCGACTGGCATCTAAAAAAAGAAAATGCTGCTAACTGATATGGATATATTGTACATCCCTATCTAGTAGCAACACTCACATTTGTACAAAATCTCGTTTTTTCACTCTCTTTTAGCGATGAGGACCTGCAGACCCAGTGAATTCAGTTGTGGTGGGCGACTAAACCAGTGCGTGCCAAAGACTTGGAAGTGTGACGGCAAAGCGGACTGTGAGAATAGTGCGGATGAGGAAGGCTGTGGTGAGTGACATCTTGAAATGTAAATCTTTATGATGCTGCCAGTGTGCATGTGTGTTGAAAATCTCCATCACCACTTACAGCTCCTCGGCGGTGTCTGGAGGGCGAATTCAGGTGTGGCAATGACCAGTGTGTGACGACTGCGTTTGTGTGTGATGGTGAGATAGACTGTGACGACGGCAGTGATGAAGTCTCCTGTCAGCCCACCACGTGTAGCTCAACCTCCTTCAGGTGCAACAATGCACAGTGTGTGCCTCGATTGTGGGTCTGCGACGGAGATGCCGACTGTGCTGATGGCTCCGACGAACTGCCTCAGAAATGCAGCCCAGGGACGCCTAAACCTACCAAAAATCCATGCTCCTCTATGGAATTTCATTGTGGCAGTGGGGAATGCATACACAGTAGCTGGAAATGCGATGGGGGAGAAGACTGCTTGGATCGCTCAGATGAGAAAAACTGCTGTAAGAAATAAGACTTGTTGATATTACATTTGCCAATTCATCCTGCTATTCTCAATGGAATGTTCCCGGGTCAATACAAGTTGAGCGCTGTCGAACTGACATGCAGATAATCTTTGCATGAAGGATCTGTTTGCATAGAGAAAAGACCCACAAGAATTACCTTGAATAATAATGCATAACCAGTGTCTCATTCGTCCTAGATTGGTTTTACCACTACTAAAAGGATGATTAAAGACAACTTCACAGTGCACATTTAGTATAGAAGGATAACTATTATTAACAAAAAAACAAAACAAAGCATATCTGTCCTCAAAAATGTCTTCCCCATAGAATTCCACAGTAAATGCAATTTTTGTTTCCAGTGATAATCTTTGTCTGTCCACAATGAATGCAAAATCAAAGTCATTCAGAAGATATTTGATGTTTAGTGTACAGTTAGTGGGAGCAGGATTGTGGACAGCTACACAGTAGAAATTGAAACCAAGCCTTTAATAAAATGTTCCTCAAGACATCATGAAATATTTTACTTTTTCCATATGAACAGCCTTGCCCACATGCCGACCGGATGAGTTCCAATGTGGCGACGGATCTTGCATCCACGGCAGCCTGCAGTGCAACCACATAAATGACTGCAAAGATTTGAGTGATGAGCTGGGCTGTGTTAATGGTAAACCATACGAATTATGTCCTTTACATAATTGATATGCAAAACATATGGTTTAGGTGTTACTCTGATATGCAACACTTATTTTTCTCCTCTCTGAATTGCAGCGACCCATTGTGATCCACCACACAGGTTTAAGTGCCGCAGCGGTGAATGCATCGGCATGGAAAAAGTTTGCAACAATAAACGAGACTGTAGAGATTGGTCCGATGAGCCATTGCGAGAATGCGGTAAGTATCGCGGCATTCAAATAGGCCTATTGCCTTTGTAGACCTGGATCTTTTTGACAAGGTTTCAGAGCAAAAGCCAGTCTGTGCTACAATTTGTGATTTTTAAATTCACAGATTCTAACGAGTGTCTTTACAACAACGGTGGTTGCTCTCATATCTGTAATGACCTGAAGATTGGTTATGAGTGTCTGTGTCCCACTGGCTTCCAATTGATGAACAAGAGGCGTTGCGAAGGTAAGAATCTGAAATTGGTTCCCATACTGAAACAGAAAATCTGGCCATAGGCTGTTTGTCCTCTGATAACAGACCTTGGTGCAGATCCAGTTCAAAGAATGATTTAATATGGACTTCATACTTATTTGCTTTTTCTGAGCTGGAAATAAGGTTAGAGTTTGTTCAGTAAGTCCATGCTGTCATGATTCAGTGCTTTTACGGACACCGTATTGATGCAGCAGAATGACTTCAAGCCCTCATTTTTGTTTGATTTCTTCAGACATCGATGAGTGTGCCAACCCAGACACCTGCAGCCAAATCTGTGTCAACCAGATTGGTAGTTACAAGTGTGAGTGTGAAGATGGCTACCAGGTGGACCCAGCCAGCAAGGCCTGCAAAGCTATTGGTACAGATTTTAAACTTTCAAATTGTCCTTTTCCATGGTCACATACTGACAAACTCATACTCACAAACATGATTTTACAGGAACCATTGCCTACTTATTTTTCACTAATCGGCATGAGATAAGGAAGATGACCCTGGATCGTAGCGAGTATGCACGTGTTATTCCCCGCCTGAAGAACGTTGTGGCGCTGGATATGAATATTGCTTCCAGGGAGATCTACTGGTCGGATTTATCCCTCAAAAAGATATACAGGTAAAGAGAGGATCTTTGGACTTATGGCCAGTTTTGGGTCTCTTTAGGATTGCTTGTTGCCAAACAGACCGGTGCCTAGTGTCATATTTTATATTTCTTTCATAGAGCACCAATGGATACTGCAGATAACTCCTCCCAACACACCGTTGTGATTGGCAGTGGCTTAGATGCACCTGAAGGTATTGCTGTCGACTGGATCCATGGAAACATCTACTGGACGGACAGTATCAAAGGTGCCATATCTGTGGCAACAGCGGATGGAAGCAGACGCAAGACTCTCTTCAAAGACAACCTGGCTAAGCCGCGTGCTATAGTGGTCGACCCTATCCAGAAGTACGTCAAGTCCCAGAAACTCTCAAATGTAGGGGCAAACTATGTGGGCAAGTGATTTACTATGTTAAATCTTCTCCGATATGTTGTAGCTTCATGTTCTGGACTGATTGGGGCACATCAGCCAAGATTGAGAGAGGTGGTCTTAATGGAGGGGACCGTAGTGCCCTAGTTACGGATAACATTGTCTGGCCCAACGGAATAACCCTTGGTATGAACTTGTCCACTTGCTTAACTGGTCAACTGTGTTTAAGTGTACATTTGGTAACTTTGGTCCTTTCTCATACATAGACCTTTTGAACCAGCGTCTGTACTGGGTTGACTCCAAACTTCATACTCTCTCCAGCATCAGCGTACAGGGAGGCGGTCGGCGTACACTAATCGTTGACCAAGGCAAACTTGCTCACCCACTGGGTCTCACTGTTTTTGAGGTAATACTCCATTTGAACTTGTTGAAAGACCTTTTTTAGGAGGTTATCTTAATGCTCAATCAAGAATTCTTCATCTTCAGGAGAGAGTGTTTTGGACGGACGTGAGCAATAACGCAATTCTAAGTGCAAATCGTGTGACTGGAGGAGACATCACAAAAGTGGCCGAACACCTCTCATCCCCAGAGGACATTGTCCTGTACCACAACCTCAAACAGCCCATTGGTATGTTGGCCTTTATATAGCCATCAAAGTTACCATTCAGTGAGTTAGTATCCATCCAAAACTAAATTCTTCTGAACTCTGAATGTCCTACCAGGAATCAACTGGTGCAAGGTCAACAACGGTCGCTGTGAGTTCCTGTGCCTTGCTGCCCCTCAAATCAATAGATTCTCACCCAAGTACACATGTGCCTGCCCAGACAACATGATGTTGGCCGAAGACATGAGAAAATGTATTCCAGGCAAGTCAGATTTGGTGCTTGTTGTCAGGACTGGGATTAGGTTATTAATGTAAATCCTGTTGATTCCTAAATCCAATAATTGTGTTTTTATTTTGAACAGCTGTTGTCACACCAGCATCTCCTGTCAGGCCTGAAATAGTTCCAACTAGTCATACTCAAGTACCTTCAAAGATGACACCAAAATCTGCTGGCCCTTCCACTACCAATGCGCAACCTTCAACCACTCCTGCTCCTGTGACCCCTAACCGACCCACTCAAGCTGCCCCATTCAAGCCTTCCCAAACCACAACTAAACTTCCTTTATCCACCCAGACAGGTATGTCTTGCTTTATCCACCCAGACATTACCCTCTGTCCCGGTCTTCTCCTTTTCCTAGCGAAATCAGACAAACCTTAATCTCAAGACCCCAGGGATTCCTCAAGGTGATATTACAGTTTCGTTGAAATTTGTGAAAACTGTTTTAAAAATGTTTGTGATTTCTCCTTAGATGACAACTATGGTAATGTTAAAGCTGTCTCCGAACCATCATCTTCCACACCGTGGGCCTTGTACATTGTGGTTCCTCTTGGTGAGTGCTTTAGTCCAAATGCTAAGGCAAAGAAAAGATATGCTGTGTTATAAAAACTAGTGAGTTACCTACACATTTTAAGGGTTTATGAAGATGTGCTCTGGACACTGAGGGCCAGATGTACGTACATTTGAGAACGCAGCATTAATAGCACCATGACCAAGACACAGAAAGCGCTTGATGTGAAACCGCAGTGTGCGTGTTATGTACCAAACCTGCAGTTCATCAGGTAATCAGCACCTGTCCCCACCCACTATACCTTAAATTGCGCTTATTTAAACGCGCAAATGAATGGGCCTCCTCCTCTCACTGCTGATGCTATGACTGTTTGAAATGATCCTGATGCCAATAATTGTAATGTAGCGAGGAGTTTAACAACTGCTGGAATGGAATGTGAACGCTGAGTCGGACATTCGATGTCATCTTTGATTTCTTCCAGTAACTGTAAAATTGCCTATAGCTGCTTAATCTGTAACGCTTAATGATTTCGTTTTCACTCAACTGAAAAAGTGTGATTCTTGTGGCAAAAATCTTTTCAGCTCGTCTCCTTAGCCTAAGTCTTCGTCTTGCTCGGATTACTGCTGCCATTTCACAAGGAGGCATATGCCAGGAAACCCGCTTTCTAAGTTACACCTGGTTTTAAGAGGCGGAGAATTTTCAGCGCAAAATAGAGGCGCGCTTTCACCGGCTTTTTCTGTACATAACGCGGAATACATAATTAGGCGCAGTTTACGCTCCCCCCCCCCATCTCTTTATGTGACACTCCCACTTTCCCCTTGACCATCCCATGAATGCATATGCATGACACGAAAAGCGTATTTTGCCATTTTCAGTTACCGCGACAGGCAGTCTGCGCTTTCATCTCGGTGCGTCCCATTCGTACATATCTCGCCATGGTTTTATGCGCACTTTGCGAAACAAATACGCCTGAAGTGGGCACAAAAGCGTTAGTACATCTGGCCCAGAGGCTGTTTCAATTGGTAAGCGACTGAAAGTCATGATGTAACGGAGGTATCAATAGATATTTTCTTCTGTATTGTGATATACATCCAGGTGAACTGGAATTATCTAAAAGAAAAAAATGTAGGATGGGAAATTGGTTCTATTCATCGGTTGTTGGTTGGATGGAGGCAGATCTCAATACAAGCTTGCAGTCGAGAGGGGTGGGGTTTATGGGAATGAAATGATTGGAGGAGTCCAGCATACATCACCAGAGAGAAGTCTGTCGTCTTCACCGAAATATCAAGTTGTGACATTTATGACTATTAACAACTAGAATGTAAAAAAAGTAACATTTACACTTAGAAATAATTCACCAAAAAATCAATAACATGCATTTAGAAAATTGATGATGAATTTCCATTTTATGTTGACTTCAATTATGCCGCCTCCTAAGATACATCATTCTAGCCAAATTCTAAAGCATCATATAAATCCTTCGCAACGAAGACCATTCCATAAAGCATTACAATGAGCTCAGACAAAAAAATAATTCAAGATGGTGGACACAGCGAGAGAAATATTTATTATAAATATATTTCATTCATTTTTTTAATGCATATTAGAGCATTAGTTTAGCGACATGTTAATGGCAAACTCTATTGAAATCAGTTGTGAGTCACGTAAGGAGAGCTGTTTGTGTAGGGCGTGCGTAGTGTTGCTGCCAATGTAGAACATTCAAAATAAGTCACTGATGAGCTTCCATGATGGTTATGATGCTACATGGACAGCAAAGCAACTCACTTGGTTTTGTAACGGTGCGATACTCTTCAAAACATTCTATTCTCTTATCTATTCCATCACTTTAAAACTCCTATTCTAATCTGAATGTCTTATTATCTTCTCAAAGCAATCCTGTGTTTGGTTGTGGGAGGCGCTGTGCTGTTCTGGAGAAAGTGGCGTCAGAAAAATACCAACAGCATCCACTTTGACAACCCGGTTTATCAAAAGACCACTGAGGACCAGGTGCACTTATGCAGAAACCGTAGTTCTGATGGCTATATTTACCCGCAGGTAAGTTTTATAAATATCTACTGACTACTGAACACAATCTTCATGATAGTAGCTTTAGATAATGTCTTAGAACATCTAAGTTTACTAATATCCTATTTGGATGACTGTCTGGTATATAAGGTAACTGATGTGTCTAATAATTATGGTCTTATTTGGCTTCTACAGAGACAGATTGTGAATCTTGATGATGAAATATGATGATGACATAGTGGTCCATGCTGAAACTGACAACGTTTCAAGAGTAGAGCCTTATTTGATGTCTTACCAACTTGGAAGTCAGTTCTTCAGCAAAACAACATTTGTGGAACAATGGAGATACAAACCACCTTTCCACACAAGGCAATCAGTGCAAAAACAATTCAGGACAGACTAAAAAAAAACATGAAAACAAAGAAACCTCAAACAACAACAACCTCAGCTTATCAAGGCTGCTTAACACTTCACTATATATAAATAATATCAAGATTATATATAGTGATCAATTTTAACAGCACTTACAAATCAAGGTTTTATTTTCATGAGATGTCCATGATAAGTTATTGTAAATAGAATATGTATTAGTATATTTTAAAGAGTTAAAATAAATTTTATATGTATTTTAAAAGTTTTTTTTGTTTTTTTTTGGAGGGATCAAAAATTACATTGCATACCATTAACGTTTTCCAAAATATTTGGTTCATATATTTTAATTAATTAAAGATACAGTACATTTGAATATTTTATGCAAAAATAGACCATTTACTGTCATAAGCTGTCAAGTTTGTGTTCCTAATGTTTTATGCCATTGTTTACACCAATTGCTGTCATCCTGTTTTTGTTTTGTTTTTTTTTGTGCCAAAATGGTCAACGTTACATATGAAACTGCTTGTTCACGATAAAAATACTTTCTCATATGCAGTATTGATATAGTTTCTCTTTATCTCAGCAATTAATCTGAATTTACTGTGGTGAAAATGTGGAAGATTCATGGTAAATACTTTCATTTTTATTTCAAACATATTGTAATCATGGCGATGTGACACATTTGTTTTACATTCTCTATGTGAATGTGTAAATAATTTATTTGTCTATGTAAATATGTTTATTATGTCATATGTTATATATATATTGCATTTGTATTTTTAAGTATACAGTATTGTATATAAAGAAATGTTGTATTTATTTTGGATGATAATTGGCTTTCTTTGCTGTGTACTATGTCAGTTGTTTATTTGAATAAAAAAACGTATTCTGATTTATTAATTAATCTGATGCATTTTTATAAAAAGCCAATCACAACTGTTTTTGACCTGTGTGTAATCCTTACTTGAAATAAATATTTTGAAGATTTTACTATACCGGTTTTGTGTTTTTAATGTTGTAATTTTGTCATGACAAACATTTTCCAGGGCTGCTTAATTACAAAATAATCCAATATATATCCAGTACATTTCATGGCTTCAGTAAAGTGAAGTTAGAATGAAAACTGAAAAGGCCTATGAGGATCAGTTTCAGCAGATCAGATGATCAAATGGTCAAATCCATGAGATCAGCTTTGTAAACCTTCATATGGAGCACATGAGGCCCAGACTGAAAAAGACTTCTGAAAGAAAAAGAAAAAACACATAACAAAGGCAAATGTGAACCTACAAAGGCCTTTTATTTTTATTTTATTTATTTATTTATTTTACAAGTGACTGTGCTTATAAATGAGACCACTTTTCTTCTGGATGCATATATAATTCAGGAAGAGAGTGACCTGTAAAACCACAAAGGAACGATAATAAATCCATGACTTCTGGTATTCTAGGAAATTTATTTCCAGGAAAGGCATTTCTAGGAAAGGCCCCACACAGCCCACGTCTCAGTTTTCAAAACACACTTGCCCCATGAGAAGACCCCATGATTTACAGACATCCTGGGAAAAGTGGGGCCGGTGGGTAGGACCTCCGTGACCTGTACATGTTTTTGACTAAGGCAACTGGGCAAACAGCTCTACCCCCAAAATGTTTTGTTATCGTTCATGTTTCTGGCGCTCCTTTGAGTACTGTGTGGGGCGACCAGAAAACAAGGCATGGAATCAGGTGGGCGGGATTTCATGTGAATGTAGGCTACTACAGCTTTATTTTACAAGCAAAGTTCAAGGTGTGCATCGTGGGTGGTTACTACAGAAGATAAAAACACAATCATTTGTTTTAATCCTAATCTTTCAAATGTATCTATCTAATCCAGGGATAGGCAACGTCGATCCTGGAGTGCCGCTGTCCTGCAGAGTTTAGCTCCAACCCTGATATAAACTCGCCAGCCTTTAGCATCCTGAAGACATTGATTAGCTTGCTCGGGTGTGTTTGATTAGGGTTGGAGCTAAACTCTGCAGAACAGCGGCACTCCAGGATCGACGTTGCCTATCCCTGATCTAATCTATGTATTTACACCTGTTCAATAGATTGGGGCTGGTGGGATTTTTTCAAATGTTTTAAAAAGAAGTCTCTTATGCTGACTAGGCTGCGTTTATTTGATCAAATATACAGTAAAAACAGTAATACTGTGAAATATTATTACAATTTAAATTAACTGGTTTCTGTTGCAGTATGTTTTGAAATGTAATTTATTCCTGTGATCAAAGCTGAATTTTCAGCATCATTACTCCAGTCTTCTGTCACGTGACTCCAGTCTTCTGTCACGTGACATGAGCCTTCAGTAATCATTCTAATCTAATATGATGATTTGATGCTCAAGGAACATTTATTATTATTATTATCATCAATGTTGAAAACAGTGGTGCTGCTTCGTATTTTTGTGGAAACCGTGATACTGTTTTTTTAGGAGTCTTTGGTGAAAGTTCAAAAGAACAGATTTTATTTGAAACAGAAATCTTTTGTAATGTTATAAATTTCTAATGTGTCCTTGCTGAATAATAATAATAAAAAATCTTACTGACCCCAAACTTTGTTTTTGTGCTGATTTTGCCATATTTAGTTTATGCTCATTAAGTGTTCCAGTGTTTTATTTCTTATTTTGCTTTTTAATTGCTGCTAAAAAATACCAGCTGTATAGGCCTATCACAGTGTGTCCAGAATGGCCTGTAATTGTTTTCTTTCAATCCCACCAATCTCCCAGAAAAATCGCATGTTCTGACATCACTAATGATTAGCCGTAGATCATCTGGACACTCTGTTACACAATGTTTGTGTGGCATATCAGTTCTGTGGCTCTGCTTTGGCAACAACAACAAAAAAAGAACACAAAAAAAAGAACACAAAAAAAAAAAAAAGGGGGGGGGGGGGGGGGGGGGTGGCTCATATTTATATATTGCTTGTTATGTTTAACCCTTCATGTATGAATTATGATAAACTCAGTCAGGATTTTTTTACTATATGTTTTTATTGCTCTTAGGGCATGAAAGACAAGATTTGATTTTTTTTTTTCATACAGATTTTCAGATGTCCACTTCAGTGGTAAATATTGCAAACATATTAATGTGTAATTGTCAACCAATCAGGTACATGTGAGTCTAGACTTACCTCAAACTTTGATCAATAGTTATAGGAAAAGGGGGTTCTACTCTTTGCTTAACTATTAGTTAGTTACATTTCTCTACATTTACAACTTTCTTCTTTCTATAGCTGCTTTGAAGTTTATTAAAGAAAGTAGGTCAGATAGCCTAATCAACACTGAACACTGAACGTGGACAGAGAACATCAAAGCAGTGAATAACAGGTAAAAGCTGAACTCTGAACTTATCCTTATGTTTTTTATGTTCCTTGGCCTCCTGCCATACCCATATGTAAAGGGAATTGTTTACCTTTCTCCGTAATCGCAGTAGGTGCGACATTGAGTCAGATACAGAGGCCAGAGTAGGGGCGGCTGAGAGAATATGATACATGTTTGTGCATTAATATTAGGCTACTAATATGATTACATTCATTATTACATTAATATATATTTGTAGGTGAATTCAAGTTGATTGGGACACTTTTTCCAAGTCATCTCAATGGCAAAAAGTGCCCAATCCCCCTGAATTCACCATATACTGTATTATAAATGTTCATTATTAATAGTATAGTTATTATTATTTATAAAGAATCTTTCTCAAAGCAACTTATTGTAGCACATGTACGTCTGCAAGATGTCTGTTAAAGATCACTTCATCTGAAAAGAATCTGCTGTTTACTAACATCTTTAAGATGTCAGTTTAACATACATTCTAAATAATTACATATTAAAGACATCTTCTAAACGTCTATTTGACATCTGACAGGAAACGTCCTATAGACGTATTGCAGATGAGCAAACACTCTAAAAAATACGTATTCCAGATGTAAACACGCACATCAAATAGACGTCTCCGTGATGTACGCATCCTATCAGGGACACAGTGGCTTGTGACCGAAGCATATGTTATTCCACCCACAATATAGGCTATATATGAGGATTATACAAAATCAGATTAAGATCACACAGATTATAGAAATTGATAAAACGAAACTTTCATGACATCGAAAAACAATTTCTGTCATAGACCAACATTTATTTGTCAGACGGCTTATTATTTCACATTATATACTGCCCTCTAGAGGTCTGAACCAAACACTGATCCCTAAACCACTGAACCCTTTTAATGTAGAACCTACATACTGAAACCCACTAAACCTACCTGAAAACCATGCTGAAAACCCTTTCCTATTGGGCATGGGCGTGGCTTTTGACATCACACTTGGATGTGGGCGGGGTTGGATGTCCACCGCAGGATGCAGCCGGATGCAGCCAGCGAGCCCTACTTCTTGCTTCTTCCGCAACGAAGCCACCGGAAGAACAAAGACGCACGTTTTTAGCCAAAATCCAAAATATACGTTCTAAATCTGTGACAAAATAGATGGTTTAATTTCTACGAAGAAATAAATTGTTAGTAAAAAAAATACAAATCCACGATCGGAGAAGATATTTGAACCCTGAACTCTATGACGTTGGAGGGTCATAGGTCACGTGCCCATGCTGTTCAACAGAGGAACATGTTTAACGTGAGAATTACTCGATTTATTGAGATATTAATCTGATCTCAAAAAAGAAGATATTAATACAGGTGTAAACGATCATGTCGGACCTCAAGATTAATAAGAAGTTCGCAGAAAAATATGAGAAATATCGTCAGAAAGAAGAACTGCAGAGACGTAAGTCATCTAAACTCCTACGAAAAGTCTAGTAAAGGGCTGTTTACTAGACTTTTAGATATTCATAATCTGCATTTTATTATATGTATATTTTATATGTTGAATATGGTGAACACTCCCTATATCAATCTTAAACCTTAAATGTGCCATCATTTATTTTTGTCTCCGTATTGTTGTTGAGTAGCTTCAGTTAACTTATGTTTATAACGATTATTATTAACGTTTGTTTATCTTCATAAAGATAATCTAAGTAAGTAGGCAAATCTTTGACTTTTCAAATACGAAAATCCACCATGGTTACCATTTAGCTACAGTCATACTATAGTAAGTTATTACCCACGAATGTTAATAAACTAGAAAGTATATATTTTGAAAGCTTGTTTTATATATTAAATATTTATTTATATATCATAATTTTACAGTAACAACGAACAATGTAGGTAGTATTTTCAAAGACACTGAGACTCAACTTGGACTTACGCTACATATCTCCTTTTGTGTCATACAGGCAATCATACATTTCAATTTTGTAGTTACCTGTGCATTTTAATCTGTTAATTAATTCAAATAAAGTTTAAATCTGTGTTTATTTTGAATGTTCCAGTGAAGGACCGTTACGGAGACCAAGATGAGGAGAATTCATCTGGCTCGTCCGACTCGGACTCTGATGAGAGTGAAGTGGTAAAATATTCAGCACTTTCTTGTTTGAAACTACTTTTCCAACATCATACCCAGGTTTCCATGTCTAATACTCTGATAAATGATTATATAGGAGCTGGACCCAAAGTTGGACAGGGATTTTTACAGAACGCTCTCACTTCTGAAGAAGAAAGATCCAAAAATCTATCAGAAAGATGCAAAGTTCTACACCGAGGATAGTATGTAAAGTATCTTCACTTTATGATTTTCTACTCTGGTTAAAGGAGACTGTACTGATTTCAGCACACTGTGTGATTTTATCTGTGTCTTAATAAACAGCATCTGGATTAGGCAGCGATGAGCAACCGTCCACTTCGAAAAAGTCAGAGAAACCCATGTTCTTGAAGGACTATGAGAGGAAGATCATCCTGGAGAGAGGAGGGTAAGAAATCATGTGTTTATAAATGATGAAAGCTGTGGCTGCATTTATATATCTTTCAATAATTCAATTAAAGTGCAAATGGTGAAAGCATTATGACAATCAGTTATAGTATGTAGATAACTGATAGTCTTTTCCATGTTCTGATTGGGTGTATATAATAAATTTGATTAATTCATTTTAGAAAATATGATGATGATGAGGATGACAGTGCTGATGAAGAAGTCTCCAAACAGATGCAGGAGGTAATTATACTTAAGATACACTATGTTCAAAAGCCAATACAGAATGAAAATGGACCCCGTTAACTTTTTTAATATGAAAATGTTACTGGTCTTATTAAAGACTGCTCTTAAAGTCTATCATTTTTAAGCACTTTTTTTCTTGTTGAATGTTGTTTTATTTTGAAATAATTTAATTTGCAGAAGCAAAATGGGTTGCGAATGTAGTTTCATGTTGACATTCAAATTTGTGTTTGGATGTCAAAGGGTCTGTGAAGATTTTAAGTGTTTTAGGATCTTGTAGAATGACAGATAAAATTAAAGCTGCAGTCTGTAACTTTTGATGCTCTAATATAATAAACAGATTTTTATTTTTCGGATAATAAACAGAGCTGACATGCGTCTTGCGGAAGAACATCGTAGCCGGAGCTTCTTCTCTCTGTTTATGTCTATGACGAGTCACGCAGGTACTGGGCTACTCCGCAGTAGTACGAGCCGTACCAGTCTGAATATAAACACTTATTATAGGTGTACCGTAGTGATTCAGGATAAGACAGAAACACAGTTTGGAAAATGGATGATGTCAATGAATGAATCACAATGTACTCGCTTATTATATACATTTTGTAAATTTTTAACACAAAGTTACGGACTGCAGCTTTAATTCAAATGGAAATTTGGACTTGGTTTTTAAAGGAATAATTCACTTAAAAATAAAAATTCGGTCATTTACTCACCCTCAAGTTGCTTCAAACCTGTATGAGTTTCTTTCTTCTGCTGAACACAAAGGAAGATATTATGAAGAATATCGGTAACCAAACAGTTGATGGACCCCATTCACAAGTAAATGGGGTCCATCAACTGTCTGGTTACCGACATTTTTCAATATATCTTCTTTTATGTTCAGCAGAAGAAATAAATTCATACAGGTTTGGAATGACTTGAAGGTGTGTAAATGATGACAGAATTATAATTTTTAAGTGAATCAATCCTTTAAGATGTTTTTTTTCTACTCATTCAAGTAGCTTCTTCAGTATCTAAACCTCCTTCATGTCTAACATATAATTCATAAGTGAATGTGTTTGCGTTTGTGTTACAGAGAGCTGCATCTCCCACCTATATCCAAGAACAGAAGGATCTGCAGGAAAGGTAGATTGGAGATTGTCTTTGCACCATTGTCTGTTTGGTTCAAGTTGCTTAATGTATACATATGCAATTACTTGACTGTCTTTGTGTCATTTATCAATTTTCAGAAAGAAGGGTTGTTCAGTCAAAGCGAAAATTCTGTCACCATCAGTGTTTTAGGGTAACGCATTACAAATAACGTGGGTTACATAATCAGATTACTTTTTTCAAGTAACTAGTAAAGTAACACATTACTTTTAAATTTACAACAAGATATCTGTTACTTTTTTTAAATAAGCTTTCCCATGTATCGACTGACAGAGAAGTTGTGTGCGCTGTGTGAACATGATGGTTATTGTAGATCTAGTTTCTAGACTAAATGAGAGCATTTACTCATCTCACTTGTACAAAAACAGATTCAATGTTCATCAAAATGAATAAAAATGGTGAAGTGCAAACTCAGAAGAATAATACGCAAACCTGCATGAATTAAGTATTTTAAATCACACAAATATATATATATTGCTGTGCCCTCTACTGTACAGATGTGCATTTCTTTCAGCCTGAGGCTTATTCATTTCACTTAAAAAATAAGCAAGCCCAGCCCAGGTGAGAAAAAGTTAAAAACCAGTAAGATACAGCATTACTTTTCATAAAAGTAACTAAGTAGCACAATTAATTACTTTTTTAGGAAGTAACGCAACATTGTAACATTACTTTTAATAGTAACTTTCCCCAACACTGGTTAGCATTTACTTGCCCTCAAGTTGTTCCAAACCTGTACACAATATTTCCTATATAGAAATGGAGAAAAGAAAGACATATTGATTGTCATTATTTACTCACTCTCATGTAGTTTCAGATTCATTTCATTCATTCCATTACAATATGTTTTACTTGAGTCTTTACTTTCATTTGGCAGTTTGCGAAAGTTTGTGCAAGACAGTGATGAAGAGGACAGCGATGGTGACGGACAGCTGCTGACGCGGAGAACCAAAACACAAGATGAGAAGGTGCTGAAACTTAAATTCCTGGATGTTAAAGTTGGATAATTGTGTAAAATAAAACCGTATCCAATCATACACTTTTCTTTGTGCTTGTCTTTTCCTGCTTTCCTAAGGACAAAGAGGACGCCGACTATGTGGAATGGCTGAAGGGTCAGGCAGAGCTGGAGGGGCCGGAGGAAGTTAAGGACATGGTCAGTGTCTTGTTCTGGATTGAAGATGGTTTTAGGATGTAAGAGTTGATAACTATAGGCTTTACTCACTCTTGCTCTTTTTTTTGATTGGATGTTGCCCGGGGTAATTTCGATATAAATCCAGAAATACCTGCGAGATTACTGGAACGACCCCCAGCTGGATGAGAAAGAGTCTTTCCTGCGAGACTACATGCTCAACAAGAGATACCTGGAGGAGGATGAAGAAGAAGAAGAGAGGTGGGTTTTGTTTGTAGTATTACAGAATTGAGTCAGTAAGTGATGCAAATACATGAACAAATAGCCTATCAGATGTGAGCTCTGTGACTGTGTTATTCTATGTAAATGTACAGTACACTTCTGTTCAAACGTTTGGGGTCGGTACGATTTTTTTCTTCTGCTCACCAAGGCTGCATTTATTTGATAATAAATACAGTAAAAACAGTACTATTGTGAAAAATTAACCATTTAAAATAACTAATTAGTGTTTTGATAATGTAATTTATTTCTGTGATTATCAGCATCATTACTTTAATACTTCAGTGTCACAGGCTCCTTTAGAAATCATTCTAATATTATGATTTTCTCAAACAACATTTCTTATTATTATCAATGTTGAATCATCAACAATTCATATTCTTTAATATATATAATTTTATTTTTGTAACATTATAAATGTCTTCACTGCCAATTTAAATCAATTCAATGTATAATTTCTGAATAAAAGTATTAATTTCTTTTTTATCGTGCTGTTCCCAAAGGTTTGAACGGTAGTGTAAGTATCTCTATCTGTGAATGTTTTTAGGATCCCCACCTACAATGAGCTGACGCAGGATGATATGGATGACTCGGAGGATGAAGGAGAATCTTTCCTGCATAAACAGGAGGACTTTGAGAGGCAATACAACTTCCGCTTTGAGGAGCCTGATGCTGGAAAGGTAAAAGGATGTCAACGTCAGCCTGATTTGTCTTTATGTTCTGTTGAATGCCAATGTGAGTGTCTTCGTGAAGAGCAAAGCTCTTTCTTATGGTCATTACCCATCAACCCTCTATTCCTCCACAGGTCAAAACATATCCACGCAACATTGCCACATCTGTCCGAAGCAAAGATGACACAAGAAAGAGGAAGAGGGAGGAGGTTAAAGAGAGGAAGAAAAAGGTAAACTATCATTTTTGAGTAAGTAAATGCACTACCATTTGAAACTTTAGGGTTTATTTTAAGTTTATTTTAATCATCCAAGCCATCATCTATTTGATCAAAAATACATTAAAAACAGTAACATTGTGAAATATTATTATAATTTAAAATAACTGTTTTCTATTTGATTATCTTTTCAAATGTAATTTATTCCTGTGATGTCAAAGCTGAATTTTCTGTATCATTACTCCAATCTTTTAAGTAGATTCAGAATCAGATTTGTTTAATTCCATACAATTCCCCTTCCTAACATCCTGTAGGAGAAGGAACAGAAGCAGCAACAGCTGAAGGAACTGAAGAACCTGAAGCGAGCAGAGATCATGGACAAACTGAAGCATCTGCAGGAACTGACAGGAAATGAGCAGCTGGCCTTCAATGACGTTGACCTGCAGGGAGACTTTGACCCCCAGCAACATGACCAACTTATGCAGGTGGGGCAGAAATTACCCATTTAAATAGACTGTAGGTCTGGAACATAACTGCATGTCAAGAGTCATCCAAAGTCACAGCTTATGATGAAGATAATTTGCATTTAGCTATTTGATATTTACATTGAGCTGCATGTACTTTCATGGACTTGATTTCTCACATTCTTCATTCTCATCTGCAGAAGTTCTTTGGGGATGAATACTATGGAGAGGAAGAGGAAGAGAAGCCACATTTTGATGCCGATGATGATTTAGAAGGTAACATTGTGTCTCTTGGATGGATGATTGTGTTCACATACATATTTCCTTTTTTGAAAGAAATGAATACTTTTATTCAGCAAGGACACATTAAATTGATCAAAAGTGACACTGACAGTAAAGGGATTTATAACTTTTCATAAAGGTTTATGTACTTTTTATTTATTTAAGAATACTGAAAAAATGTATCACGGTTTCCACAAAAATATGAAGCAGCAAAACTGTTTTCAACATTGATAATAATAAGATGTTTCTTGAGCATCAAATCATCATATTAGAATGATTTCTGAAGAATCATGTGACACTGAAGACGTTACCATCAGAGGAATAAGTTAAATTTGACATAATATTAAAATAGAAAACAGTAATTTTAAATAAATATTTCATATATTACTGTTATTACAGTATTTTGATCAAATAAATGCAACATTGGTGAGCATAAAAGTCATCTTTCAGAAATCTTACTGACTTTTGAAACTTTGACGTGTTTGTTTGTTTTTTTGTGATGTGAATGTTGTGTTTTGTTAGAAAATTGGAACTGGGATACATGGGTGGGAAAAGAGGAGAATGAAGAAGAGGAACAGAACACTATGGAGGAAGATAATCAGCCCAACTGTGAAGATCCTGACTTTATAGTAAGATTGTTTCTCATTGAGGCACAAATGCAACAGCAAACTATTGTATGGCGTCCGCTTCTAATCACACTTGAATTTTTTTTTTTTAATAGATGGATGCTGACTATGACCCAAGTCAACAGCCCGTTTCTAAAAAGAAGAGAAAGAAAGTGAGAGAGGAGAAGAAAAAGAAGACCAAAGAGGACGCCCCTCTCATGGGAAAGAAGAGGAAGAAGTCCCTCTTTTCTGAGATCATCAACAAAAACAAGCCCGTCTTTGATCCAAGTGGGTGTTAGATGTTTAAAACTAATGTAATGTCTAGTTTTGTCACTGTCATTGATCGAACAAAAAAAAATCCCGCCCAAAATGTACACACTTGTATTCATGCATAATCCAAGGTGTAATCCTAAAATCTTGTTTTTCCTGGTCATGTTCCCAGAGGAGAAGACCTTTGAGCAGTATTTGGACGAGTACTATAAACTGGACTTTGAGGACATCATTGATGACTTGCCATGCAGATTTCGCTACAGAGAAGTTGTACCGAATGACTTCGGCCTGTCCACTGATGAGGTGAGGAGCTACGAGCAACAGTAATGCCTGGATGATGATTGACTCTGAGTTCTGTGCTGATGAGCTGCGATTGTGTCTGACCTGGTATTGCTGTTCCTTCGGGAATAACTCTGACCAGGGTCTGAGGACTGTAATCTTCTCTCTGAGCAGATCTGCATTAAAGACCACCAGTGTAGATTAGCGTTTGTCTCACACCGTAGAGGATTTGAGAGCTGTATGGTTGAGCTTCAAGTAAATCTTTCATTGCTGGTGCTGGAGCTTTATATGGATTTTGATGAAGAATGCACAATTTATCTGGACCATATGGTCAATTGACATTGACAAAACTATTGATTTAATAATCAATGTTATATTACTTATTACTAATATATATATATATATATATATATATATATATATATACACACACACACACTACCAAAAAAGTGGGGTCAGTAAGTTTTTTTTTTTTATGAAGAAATTGATTTTTTTTTTAAGAAGAAATTGTTACTTTTAAACTAGTAAAGTGACAGTAATTTTAGAGAAGATTGAAATTTCAATTATAAATGCTTTTCTTCTGACCTTCCTATTAAACAAACACTCCTAAAAATGTATCACGTTTTCCACAACAATATTAAGCAGCAATTGTTTTTTTTAACATTGGATGATCAAGAGAAATTTCTTATTATCATCAGTCATCATATTAGACTGATTTCTGAAGGATCATGTGACACTGAAGACTGGAGTAATGATGCTGAAAATCCAGCTTTACCATCACAGGAATAAAATATATTTTAGAAGACATTTAACCTGTTATTTTAAATTGGAATCATATCTCACAATTTTATTGTTTTTACTTTATTTATGATCAAATAAATGCAGCCTCAGAGCAAAAGAGACTTCTTTCAAAACATAAAACAGAAGTATTAATGGATTTTAAAAAAAATCTCTCATTTATTGGTAATAAACATGAAAATAATTATTATGAGGCACAGAATTGTCTGATTTAAAGGAGAACTCCGGCGCAAAGTGAACCTTTGGTCTAATTACACATTGGTACCTAGTCAACCGTTATCTGAGATTTGTTTTCATGATTATCGAATGTAAATAGTTTTATCTCTAAAAACAGTTTAGCCTACAAAGCTAGTATAACGCTAGTATATTGGGCATAGATCAATGACAAATAAAAATCGCTTGTTAATACCACTAACAAGGCTCAAAATAGCCCCACACTAACACGGTAGCATAATGAGGGTCCCTACCTTCAAACCGAAGCATTGAGAACTTTGTCAGTGTCCAGACAGTTTAATAAGAAGATATTTAATACATACAGTCAACTTCGCGTATACAGACAGGAGCCATCTTTGAAAAAGAGTCTCTACCAGTCGATCTACGAACGCCGATCCAAGCCTGCTGTTCGCGCTCACCTTATCACAACTTATAGCTCGTTCACATCTCACCAGCGCACTTGGATCGGCGTTCGTAGATCGACTGGTAGAGACTGTATTTCAAAGATGGCTTCTGCCTGTATACGCGAAGTTGACTGTATGTATTAAATATCTTCTTATTAAACTGTCTGTACACTGACAAAGTTCTCAATGCTTCGGTTTGAAGGTAGGGACCCTCATTATGCTACCGTGTTAGTGTGGGTCTATTTTGAGCCTTGTTAGTGGTATTAACAAGCGATTTTTATTTGTCATTGATCTATGCCCAATATACTAGCGTTATACTAGCTTTATAGGCTAAACTGTTTTTAGAGATAAAACTATTTACATTCGATAATCATGAAAACAAATCTCAGATAACGGTTGACTAGGTAACAATGTGTAATTAGACCAAAGGTTCATTTTGCGCTGGAGTTCTCCTTTAATATAGATAACTTATGATAAATTATTCTCTGACTTATTTACTAGTATCTTATTGAGGGGGTAAAAATCAGAAATCCTCTGGCTAATATTTCCATGTTATTCTCACCTGAACCTCTTTCCATAGGTCCTGAAAGCAGATGAAAAGGAGTTGAACCGCTGGTGCTCACTGAGAAAGACCTGCATGTACAGGTAGCGTACAGTATCATTGATGTAAATAGCCAGGAACTGTTGTGAAGTTTTGGAATATATAGTGATAATAATTATGTGGGGAAAATGCCTTCAGCTAAATAAATAGGCCATAAACATTTTGAGTGCACTTTCCAATTATTTTCTTGTGATTATTCTTCTGCTCTAAAATAAATTGATGCGTTTTGCTTTGTTTTTCCTTGTTTAGGTCAGAGAGGGATGAACATTGTGACGTGAAGAACTTCCAGATCAAAGGACAGAATATCAAGAAGAAACAGCAAGTGTTTGTGTCTCTGTATAATGAGTGAGTGTCCCTTTAAACATCATAGTAAAAAAGTCCAGAACCTTCAGGCTCGACGATAAGGACAGCTCGATAGCCCAGGGCAAGCATATACGTCGCTCGGGACAGTTGACGCAACTGTGGCTTGCCCGTTTGGGCCAGTGCTGCATCACGAAAGTTTATCATTTGCACGTGTTTTTAAGCCTTGCCAATTTAAATATTCAAGCGCAAGAAGACGCGAAACTGAGAACTAATTCAAGAGAACTCAATTCAATAGTGTGAGAAGTTTTGCTTGTGCACATATTCAAAGCTGTTTCAGTGCATATGACTTTAAATGATAATGAGCTTTGCTCACCCCGCCTCTCTGTTCTGTGCTACACCGTTTGTAACACAATAACATAATAACCATAACGCGTTGTTCAGTATAAACGTGGGATTATGAATTATATTGAGAACATCATACATAGAAAACATGCCGTAATGTACCCTGAGTGTAAACCTTAGACACATTCATTGTGAAGCGTGCAGCTAGCGATTTGCAAAGATTAACGTTAATATATTAATTTAAAGTTTAATAAAACGTTACACTCACTTCAGTTGTTCTAGAGGTTCAGCAGGAACACGAATATCTGGTTCCGATCCTTTTTTCATGAGCAGCTTCTTAGCAAAACCAGCTCATACTGACCCTCCTCGTTTATAAAGCAGTCTGGTGAGAAATGATTTGCGCAAACATGAAAGCATTGACGTTGCTCGTGGGGAATATTCCCTTCGAAAACAAACTCAGCCACTGCGTCTTCAGCGGTTCAGATTTAGGAACATTAAAATGACTGCTGTGTTCGTTATTACACCCAAGAACAGAACACCACAATCGCTTAGACGCCATTCTGCTCATAGACAGTGCTCCAGCATATCAACAATGACTGGTCCGCGCGGACTATGATTGACAGCTCGCTCACGAGCGAGGGCGGGTCTGTGTTCAAAGATGCTGTTAATCAACAATCGTGGGAGGGGCTTCCGAGCGTGTGACGTCACAAAATCGAACGGCTCAATTTGAGGCAGGGGAAAACATAAGGAGATTAAAACAAAAACACTGGATGGATTTTTATCATTTTATGATGGTTGTGTACAGACACTGCCAACACACATTTCAGAACAATCAACTTGTAAAAGTGCATGTACCATTATATGACCCCTTTAAGGAATATAATGCATGTGTAACATTATATTGGATCCCTGCAGCTCTTAAAGTGACAGTAGCCTAATAAACCTGCTGCTGTCTTTGTTTTAATGCTAATCAAACAACAAAAGACATAGATAAAAAAATCACTCTCTGCTCTTGACTGAATAACTTTTGTAACTTTGATAAGAATTAATCTATATTTAATTTATACAGTGAAGACTGTATGCAGGACTATTTTACATTTGATTATTCATTTTCTCGACCTGAAAATTACTGTTAGACTTACCTGAAAAACATGAAAAGCAGTGTTTATTTTATTTGTATTTTTGTTCTATTTGTGCTATTTCTCGTAATTTTGATTATTTGTTCTTATTTTATTACTGACAGTTTACTTGTCTTTAACAATATTTGAAATTGATAGAAGTTAGGCTAGTAGTTTTTGGTGTCACAACCTTATTTATTAAGGTTATGGGTCAAAAACAACGAAGACAATAACTATTTTATTTCTTTTATTATAACTTTTTTGTGTTGAGGCTAGTGAAAATTTTGTCTGGGCAAGTAAAAATTTGAACCACTGGGCCAGTAGAAAAAATCCTTAGTGTAGAGCCCTGAACCTCATACAAATGATACTGAGCATTGCACCAGTTTACATTTGAAAATGCTTTTCTGAGAACCATGTTCTCCTCCCATCCCTTGTGTTTTAGTGTATTTGTGTTTTATTACCCAGGAACGCTGGTGAGGAGGAGCTGATGGAGTCTAAGGGGAAGGTGGGTAAGAAGACGAGGGATCGTCCAAAGCAGGCCGAGGTCACGATGGAGAAGAGAGATCTGACAGACGAGACATCTGAAAGCCTTCCAGAGCAAGCAGACATCAAGGACCTCAAAGAAGTCACTGCAAAGGATGAAGGGGAGGATGATGAGGAGTTCCTGGTTCCTAAGAAAAAGATGAAGCCGGAAGAGACTGCAGTAACCCCGAAAGAGGAGGTGCCCAGTAAAAGGACTGGGAAACCTAAATGGCCTAATAAGAAAACAAGGCGGCCAGGTGGACGCCTGCTTTCCAGATCCATGACGGTGACGATGGCTGGCCGAGAGTTCAGCAGACAGAGACTCCAAGCCTACGGGCTGAATCCAAAGAGACTCTACTTTAGAGAGCTGTACAGACAGAAACGGAAAGAACGAGAAAAAAAGGAAAAGCAGCTGAAAAAGAGCAAACCATGAGGCTGACAATAAATGGCATTTTAAGTTGTTCATGAAAAAAAATGTGTAAATGAGTGGGACCAGAAACTGTCTTTCTAATTTCAACACTGCTTTAATCTGGAACGTTTTCAGTTCAACATTGTTACCTGAATGTTTTATCTATATTATTAAAAATGTATAAAAGGGAGTTGTTGTGGAAATAAAGACAGTTCTTTTCACATTTGTTTTCTTCATGTTTTGCTTTGACCACTTTACTCACGCAAATGGAAAAAATATTGCAGTCTTCATCCTTAGTTTATAAGTTCTGAGTTATTCCAGACCCCCTTTTAAAATAAACTAAATTTCAAAGATCAATTTTATTTTAATTTAATGTATTTCATTCAATAAAGCTTTTTTTGTGGTCAAAAGGAGAAATAAAACAAGTTTGGTTAGAGGAAAACGAAATCATGACGTTGTAGTTACACAAGGCTTTGGTGGTTTTGACTTGACAAGCCATATTTAGTTGTCGCACACAGTTGCCTGACTGAAATTCTAGAGTCGCTCTTTAAAATCACCTCAAACTGTTTAGATGGGCACATAATGAATTTTATATAGGATGTGCTATATTAAAATAATGATCGTGATGAGTGGAAACAAATGCTTGAGGTATTGAGGCTGGTTTTTAATCAGGCGCGGCTTGGGAAAGCGCGCCTAACAGCCACCAGTTTGAAATCCGGATAAACAGCGCGTGCATTGGGTGAGACTATTTACTCTGAAATACATTGAAGAACATCGATATATTGTACATTTTCATTGATATTTGTTATGTGGACCAGTGTTTAAAACGCTAGACTGACTGAATAAAGAAAACATGTATTTTTGAACGCTATTGTGTTATTGAAGGTTTTGTGTGGTTGTTTTAGGCAGGTTTGTTTTTGAGTTGTTGTTTGTGTTTGCTCAATAACAGTGGGTGATTTTAGTATAAATTATACACCATTCGTATTAGACTATATATTTTAACACCTAACAGAGCTACTAACTAATGATTTACCGTGTTATAACCATTGACTGATCTTGTACATCCATTTTTAATGCCTTGCTAACTTAAATGTTTGGTTTTGTGTGATGTAGGGCAGGCTATACAACATTGTTTTTGTAAATTCTGCTTATTTATGAGCATGGTTTTGATATATTTGTAAAACAATGTGACACTGAAAGCATCAATAAGAGGATTTTGAGAGCCCTGTATGCCGTTTGTAGAATTTCCAACATGTTGCAAATTTTATGAAGAAACCTCGACATTTAATGAAAAATATTTTTTTCTAGAAAACTTACATTGCTAAAAGTAAAAACATTAATTTTGTGGTAATGCCATGAACTGTAAAAACAAAACAAACAAAAAACCTAATAAATATTGTTGAGCCCCGAATACTGTTTACGAGCTGTTGATACTGTTTACGAGCAAAACTGTTTATTTGTTTATAAATTTACTATAACTCAAACGTAGTTATTTTTTATTAATAGTATAACCGAGATCTTTTTTGTATGTCATCTCTGCTCTAGTGTTTAATCTTTTTTCTTCTTATTTTTTCACATGACATTAATTGCATACTATGAGTATAGTTGACTCTATGGCAAGTTGCTTGTTTTGTTCCTCATTTGTAAGTTGCTTTGGATGAAAGTGTCTGCTAAATGAATAAATGTTCTGTTATGGCATCCTATAGCTTCACCTCTTCTTTTTTCTGCAGATATATAATTAATGCAGACATGGCACAGAACGAAGAGATGCAAGACGACGTCCTTGAGAAATCCGGGGAAACATTGATTGAGTTCATCAAGAGCAGCAAGGCAGAGAACGTACTTCGAGGAGCAAGAGAAAAACTGCAGGAGTTCTTTGACCACCACATCAAGACCAAGAAGACTACAACCGAGATCTTAAATGGTATAACTTCAGTACTAATATTAACTTTAAACTCGCTAATCAATATTAACTGATACAATTAGCATTAAACAGCAATTAATGACTATATTGTAGTCACTCGACCATGTTTGTCTCACATGTCCCAATCATGTTGCATATTTAATTCCACAAGTGACATCCAGTTATCAGAAATAAATATGGTTATTTTGTGTTTTTAAAGTCACCATGAAATCAGATGACTGCACGTGAGATCGACCAATAGCAAACTATAACCATCCAATCAATTCCCCATGGACAAAATCAAGTCCCATCTGACTTTTTTGTTTTGTTCCAGAAGCCATTTCACTCGTATTTATGTAACAATAAGGTGGAATTTTTTGTTCCATGCTGACTTTAATCTAGTTTTGATCAAATTAATAATAAATCAAGGAAAAGATGATAAAGGTCATGCTGCTAATATTACACCTCACTAGAATGTTGCATTGTGGGATACTGTATTGCGCAATTCCAGTACAATGCTGGCATTCATCGTGGTTTTTAATGCGCACTAAACATTTGGATATTAAAAAATGTTCAACTTGAAACGTTTCTCCCTGTGTTTAAGATCTTGTGCATGCAGAGGAAGTGGTCGGCCACAAGCTTCTGGATTTAGAGCGGCAGAAGAGCCAGATGGTGCAGGAGATCGAGAGGATGGAGCAGGAAGTGCAGCGGAGTCTGTCCAAAAGCCAAATCCTGGACTCGGAGCAGGAGTATCCTTCCCAAGACCTGAACCAGAACCTGCTCTTAGTATAACCACTGGCCATATTTATTTACATTACTGTAGATGTCAGGTGACCAAGACACATTTTACATTTGATGCACAAAGACTTTCTGGTTGCTGAATGTGTAATTCTAGCGCATCACCAATCACACGCTTTAACTATGAGTTTTTAGATAAATTCTAATTAATTTGCTCAAGTTGTTTCAAACCTGTATGGATTTCTTTCTTCTGCTGAACACAAAAGAAGATATTTTAAAGAATGCTGGTGGTAACCAGACATTTGATGGACCCCATTGACTTCCATATTATTATTATTTACTTTGGAAGTCAATGGGGCCCTGGGTTATTTGGTGACTCATATTTTTTTTTAAATATCTTCTTTTGTGTTCAACAGAAAAAAAAACCTCATCCAGGTTTGGAACAACTTGAGGGCGAGTAAATGATGACAGATTCATTTTGGGGCTATCTATCCCTTTAATAAAGCATGAGTGTTGTTTCAGTTACTTTTCGATCATGCACATTGTTCTTTGTTTGTTTGTTCGCTGTGGTTTTTCTCCTTAACTGGTGGGTCAGATTCTTACAGAAAGAGTTGGAAAAACTTAGAGATGGTGAGCAAGAAATTCAGACCCTGCAACAGGAAGTGGACGAGGACACAACTGAGGTCATTCCTTCAGCTATGTAAGAACTGGACTGGCTTTAGTTCACCTTGTGAGAGTGTCTCTTGGTATAGTTGGGACGAAAAGGGTAATCGTCTTAAAGATGTGTGTTTATAATGACAAAGGACTAGATAGTACTTCCTCTACCTGCTGAAATTGTCCAGTTCTCTCCTTTTCAAAAGTTTGGGGTTGGTAAGATTTCTAATGTTCACGGAGGCTGCTTTTATTTGACCAAAAATACTGTAAAAATAATAATGTTGTGAAATATTATTACTATTTAAAATAACTTTTTTTCTGTTTTAAAAGATTGTGAAATATAATTTATTCCAGCATCATTACTCCAGTCTTCAGTGTCACATGAGCCTTCAGAAATCAGTCTAGTATGATGATTTGATCATAACTCAACTCGCAACTTCTATTTCATGACGATTTTAATATTTTTGTGGAAACTGACCTTTTTTCAGCATTCTTTGATGAATAGAACAGCATTTATTTGAAACAAATTTTTTGCAACATTATAAATGTCTTTACTGTCACTTTTGATCAATGTAATGCATCCACCTTACTAAAAAGATATAAAAAAAATTGCACAAAATAAAATCTTACGGACCTCAAACTTTTGAACGGTAGTGTATATTATTATGATAGTGACCAGGTTCACATGGTCATGGGAATTTCCAGGCTCAGAAAAGTCAGACATTTTGCAATCTTCAGCAATCTTTATTATTATTTTATCAAGCCACGAACGAATGCAGAAGTCATGTAAAGTCATTGGTCCGATTGTGTGGTAGCCCTACAGTGATATGGTGAAGTCTGTATTGCCAGACTGCTTTGAAATCATGTCCACTAAAAAATTTTTTTTTTTTTCTGCCAATTTGATTTAGATATGTTGCTCAGCTCTATAATAAAGTAACCAAGATAAAGCTGGAGGTAGACCCAGAGCCGCACATACTCAGGGGAGGTAATCCTGACACATTTACTATATATGCGGATGATGAACATAGTAGCTTTATATTCTAGACTGTATGAAATCCCTTTTGTCTCTTGGCAGTTCACTACGGTGCGGACGTGGCAACCCCTATCAACATAGACACGTCCACCCGTTCCCCCTGTGAGGTCAGCGATGACCTGTGGAGCCTGGTCAATACTGAATGGTAGACCTGGTGCACATGAACCGTGTTTGCTAATGTACTGTTTGTTTTTATATGTGTGTGTGTGTAACTGTGTATATATGTGTGTCTATAGATATGTCTTTTAAGTCTGATAATAAATTGGCCTCAATCGCTACCTTTTAAGTCACACACCACAAGATGTCACTATGCATTCACAAATTACCCCCCACAGACTGAAAATGCTCTTTTTGCATGCCCAGAGTAGCAGTTTATGGGTTTTTTTTCATCCCTTGTTATATGGATATCCTGCTAATTCCATAGAGCAGAGAATCTGATCCTATGAAATATATATATATATAAAAAATTGTTGCAGCGCACTGGTGGAAACTGGTGGAATTTCTTTTAACAAAATTATTGTCAAGGACATGCAGCATGTTTAAAAACACAGGTGTAGATGGGTTTTATCTGGCATTAACATGAGAGGGAGGTATTTTTAGTTTCTCTCGGTGTGAATAGGCATTTTGTTTGTAATTCGAACTGCCTTTTCATTTCAGTCTTGGTGTGCTCAATCCATAAAAAGTGTTTTTATTGTACATTGTTGTAGATAGTATTGGCATGTCAACATTTTTTTTTTTTTTAAGATTAGTCTTTTTATAAAGCTCCTGCCTAAATATAATTTAAATATTTTAATAGATATTTTAAAATATATAATGTGTGAGAATGTAGGATATAGAACATCTATTCAGAGAAGGTTTCATTTTCATCCAGAATGAATTTATATAGTATTGCAGAGCTTTGTTCAAGTAATTTTTTCCCCCTCATCTTTTCCTACTTTCACTATACTACTTTCACTCTTTTTAAATATCACTACTTTGGGATATTTCATTTCTGTCAGTGCCTATGGATGGGTATTCTTTCAAAAGCCTAGCCATCCTACTCGATTTGCGTGAGCAATTGAACCTTTACTTGTCTAACTTCAAAAATGAGTCACATTCTAGCCTTGAGGTGCAGAGACAAGCCTTTTCAGCTTCAGTAAACATCCGGACTGGCACGAGCTTATGGCCTTTTTTCTGTAGGGGTTTTCTGCAAAGACAGAGCAGTGAGAACATTTGGTGTGTGGCTCATGCCTTGTGAAAAGACAAAACCACAATATAGTTTAGTTTATGCTTGGTTAACATGTGGTGTGGGTGTGATTGAGCCAACTGGAAATCAGCTCGACTCACTTTCAGAAACTATTTCATTGCATTTGAGCAGTGTTTTTGTATTTAAATACACCTACATATCTATATTTTGTCGCACTTTAGTTTTATTCTTCATGGGAAACAATAAAATATGTAGAAACAAATTCAAATCTATGTAGTGCAAGTCACATTTGTGTAAATATGTTTCGTCACTAAACAAAAGACAAATTCCAAACATTCAAGAAAACACTAAGCTTTTAATCAATGCACTTATAAAAGATTTTTTAAGGCTCATAATTTAGGATCAAGAAAAAAATACATTTAAACATACTAATGCATCGTTTTCCGTAAACGGAGACGTTTTTACAGAAATGCAATATTGCTTGAATGTCAGTGCTGTTTTTATCACTGCAGAGTCACGACTGCTACACATTAATGTTGGCATTCCATACAATAACAAACAAAACTTTGATACAATATTTATAAAATATTCAATATTTATATAGCTTGTTCCACATAATGTATTGTTCCAATTACTGTATAGGAAAATATAGACAAGTATAGCACACTGGTTAAAGAGAGCTTTAACATGAAAACAGTACTCTCTTAGAAAAAAAGGTTCAGTGGGCTTCAATATAGAACAATAGGGATCTTGACTCAATTTTAAAGAAATATTTATGACAAAAAGGTTCTAAATAAGGAGAAACCGATTGCATAATACTTTCATGTTTAAAGGGTTGTTTCACTTTTTCTACTAATAAAGTATGTTTGAGCTGTTAAATTCATAAAATTTTATGAATTTAATTACAAAAGTAATTCAAATTATCCCATGATAAGACCTCCTAAAAGGTTCTATATATGAAGCGCCCGACAGAACCCTTTAAGCTTCTATATAGAACCTTTTCTTCTAAGAGTGTATTTCCCAAAAAATACGATTGTAAGAGGAAACATGATCTTACAGATTAAAAATAGTCACATGCCTTGCAGTTTTTATTTGTGTGCATATGTATTCGTAAAGTTCCCGAGGACTAACGTCCTTGTGTGTGGAGGCATCAACCCGTCATTTTCTTTGCGTCTTTTCACCACAGTCTCTGAACATTTCATCTGTTATTTGAAGGTGAAAATGACTCGTTACCCAAGCTCATTATTTCTGGAATGGCACATACGAGACTCGTATAACATCACAAGAGTTCTTTTCAAAGGATTTTTGCGCTTTTGCTCAGTTCGCTGTATAACTGTTTGTAATTTGCAGTTTAAAAATCCTATTTTGAACAAGAGACCGACCGTAGCTCTTGTCTTGCAGAACGTCCATTTTAAACATTGGTATTCGTCACAGTAAGAAAATTCCACTTGTCTGATCTCCCACGCTCTCAGGCAGCCTCATGTTTTGCTTTAATGCATGTGAAGGAAATCAAGTCCCAAATTTTCATTCTTGAGTTCCATCTCCAACTTCTCCTGCTTTCATTTCTAACCACCTCAGACTTTTTTACTTGGCAGTTTTATAAATATTCAAACCGAACCAGGAGAAGTTGGACTGTGTCCGATGGAACTTAATGCATTCTTCTTCCTCAGCTCTTTAATATCCTGGGGTAGATGGCTTTAATAGTGGATGGTGTGATGTTCCCAGAGGAGACCGTCGTCTCCAGGCCCTCAAGTCTGTGTGACGGCACCTCTGCCTTACTGGTGCTACAGTCCAGGAAAGGCATGCCGAACTTCTTCACTTGTCCGTCTTTTGTTAGCAGACAGTAGCTGCAGACAAGTCTCAGAATGGCTCTCCGCATGTCTTTACTAGTTAGGGTGTAAATGATGGGATTTAGAAGCGAGTTGATCATGGCGATGCCCAGAAAGTAGTCCGCCTTGAGCAGCACCTCGCATCCTTGAGCAGGGCAGCAGAAGTCCAGCAGAAGGAGCACAAAGAGCGGCAGCCAACAGGCGATGAAGACGCCGAGAACAATGGTGACCGTTTTCAGCAGAGCCAGATACTTCTGGGACTTCCTCGCCATACCTTTGCGCTGAGGAGCGCAGCCTAAGCGCTGGGTGTTGGACTTCACTATGCGGAAGATGCGCACGTAGAGCACCACGATGGACAGCAGCACCAGGGTAAACACGGTAATGCAGAAGAGGATGAAGCTCTTGGCGTAAAGAGGCAGGATGGTGGAGCATTCGTCCAGGTTTCCTATGCAATTCCAGCCCGTGATGGGGAGAATGCCGAGGAGCACTGACAGGACCCAACTTGCACCAATCAAACCGAACATTCGGCCACGCTTGGCCCCTTGATACGGCTTCATCCGGACCATCGTGACATGCCGCTCGATAGCTATTGCCAGGAGACTGATGACGGACGCAGAAAGAGTGATAAACACACCGCCTTCTCTAAGAAACCACAGTACTGGAGTCATTTTGAGAGTGTTTGCCCCCGAAGTTATGATGTTCACCATGTAAGTGAAGCCTGCTAGCAAGTCAGACAGCGTCAAGTTGCCCAGCAAGTAGTACATGGGCATGTGGAATTTTTTGTTCTTCCATATTGCCACCAGAACGACGGCATTTTCCACCACAATGAGAAGACAAATGATGAGAAACGCAATGGCCTCGGGTTTCAGTCCATCCTGGTATTTGTTCTCTTTCAGCTTTCCCGTAAAGTTGTAATGGGCCACGATGACGTCGTTGCTCTGATACTCCCGAAACCTTCGGAGCAGGTAACCTGGAGACGAGGTCATCGGCGGCAGAGTTAGAGCAACGGCAGCGCTAGCAGCGTATGAAGCTTCCATTCTTCCTACTTCTTAAGGAGCTCTGTTAAGCATGTAGTCCCTCTTATTGCCATATTCCACCGAAGCACATAAAACAACTCTCAGGAGGGTTTAACATAGCAGTAATATATCCTGAAAGTGTGGCAGGCTCATTTGTGTTGAAATATTCACTTCTTTTACTTTGTGATGGTCAAATCACAGCTTTGCTATATCTTCAAAGGCCACCAGAGGGAACTGAAATAAAGCATTAGAAAATAATGTTAAATAATTATGACATTAGAAAATAAATATGGTAAACATAGTTTAATAGTAAAAACAGTCGCAGATAAACCAAATATTTTGCATTTATCGTATTTAAAATGTTCATGATACTTTCATGGCCAATACTTTATTTCAGTGTAGACAGTAGATACATTTTTATCTAAATGAATGTTAGGACTCTAGAATAATAATATTTTTAATAATAAAGTCAATTGTATGTATCACGGGAATGTGTGGTGGGAGTAGACAGATAAAATCCTGTTTTTTACAGGCCTAATGTAAAAAAAAAAAAAAAAAAAAACTAGCTGCTAGCTGCCAAACTTTTACCATAAAACTAATACAGTGGCAATGTTGCAAGTTTTGTCTGCATAAATGTCTATTGTATTGTTGCAAGTACAGACTTTGTCAGTAAATATTTTGTAATGTTACTATAGCCTATCAACCTTTTTGTGCTATTAAAATCAGTTTTAATATTGTAAAATATTGCCCTACTGATAATATGATTTTTTTTACAGATGTAAAAACATCATTTTAATATTTTACCGTAGAATTTTGTAGAGTTAAAAACACATTTCTAAAACATTTTCTCCATATTTTCTGTGCATTTACATTAGTTAATCGTTCATAGTAGCCTATAGGCTATGACATGGAAACCTATTAACGAATTAACAGGTTTACCGTAGCATTTTTCCACCGTTAAAATGATTAACATTTTTACAGCGCAGTAAGTTAGCCTAACAATCAAACGACCGCAAACATTTTCTGCGGAATAATCGCAATACTATTCCGCGTATTGACCTCGTTTACGCAATCGTACACAGAAGCTTTACTCTAAATTATTATAAATAGCCCATAGCTGCAGTTTTATAAACTGGCTAAACTTTAAACAACAGTTCTGTGACTGCACGCAAAGTCCGCATCCATGCAAAACCATGCACGCGAGTTCACATTAAACTCCGTTCTCCTAAACTGACTTTAATAGTCTCGCTAATCTATATTCACATGTAACCTCGCGTATTCGTGTAAATAAACGTACCTTTTATGTTCGTTGCTGTGTCTGTAAGTGACAAATCCTCCTGTGCTCCTATCTCTCCCCCATGTCCTGCGTACATCTGACAAGGCTGATGTGGGAGCTGAAGCTTGGATCAAGGCTTGTCTTGCAGTGTGGGCTGGTCTTGGCATTCGACTCTTCTCTTCTTCTGTCCGCTGGGCTGCTGATGCAGCACTTATCATGGGTAATGAATTGCTCTGCTAACTTGGAGGTACTTTGACATTATAAATGGGTCAATGACGTGACGCTTTTTTATAAAATAGCTACACAATTGAGCAAATGTGAATTATTTTCCTTTTTGTGAATTAGACGCATTTATATTTTGTTGAGTTAATAATATATGTTATGTGGAAAGAAATATTGAAAATATTGATTCATTTCAATTAAATGCATTACTTTAGTACTTTTTACTTGGTGAAGATTATATATATATATATATATAACAAATATATACACACATCTAAAATTTTTAGTTCTTTGAAATGTCAAATGTAATTTAATACAATGAAGGACAATAAATAAATAAAATAATTTGATTTAATAAATAGAAACGCAAAATATGTTATCTGAACCACATTAAGTTGATTTGACAAAAGTCGGGGTCATGAATATAATTGTTAACAATATATAGAGAGAGTGAGGTATACATGTTTTTCAAGATTGCAGTCCTTAATTTGTTTTCTTAAAAAAGTTTTTGTGTGTGTGTGTGTGTGTGTGTGTGTGTGTGTGTGTGTGTGTGTGTGTGTGTGTGTGTGTGTGTGTGTGTGTGTGTGTGTGTGTGTGTGTGTGTGTGTGTGTGTGTGTGTGTGTGTGTGTGTGTGTGTGATCTGGGGCCAGCATCCTTACTTGCTACTGATGGTTGCTGCTAATAGAAAGTTAAAATGAATAATTCTTGTTTTGGTTTAATTTAAGAACTACTAAATTCTCAGAGTTTGTAATGCAGGATGCTGACTGTCCTCTACAGTATTCCCTTCCTTCGCTCTGACGTGCAAACAGGCACACAAACAAGTTGCATGACTAAATAAATAACCTTAGTCATTATAATTGTGAGGCACACGCATGCAAAACATGAGCGGTCTTGCGATTGCATAGGAATTACATAAGGCAGCGGAGAGTGTGAGTAAGTCAGAAGCCGGATCCTGCTTTCTTAAACAGGAAACTCTGTCATTGTACCTCGAAGGGAGAGGGATTTCCTTGAGAACCACCTATGAGGTCATACTGGGCCGTGTCGAACAAAGCACCCAAGAGGAACACTGTGTCCCCTCTGCTATGGAACTATGGAATAGGACAGCCACTCGTTTTCCAAACAGAATAACTTGAAGTATGTATGTATTATGCACCGATGTTGAAAACATATGGAAGATAGATTCTTTGTTTTATGACATGAAATAGGAAAAAGTACCAAGCATTGCATTCTTTAATTTTTCCTGGCAGAAGTTAAGCATGTGGGAGAAGTCTGTCTTGTTCACCTGTTCACAGGGGCAGCAAGGGCACATATTTTCAGTGCTCTGCACATTCTGGTGCTTTCCAGTGGGTGGCCACAGTGCCAGAACTGAACGGAGACTTGCTTTATCAGTCCTTTTTTTTTTTGCTTCTTGCCCTCAGGGTCCGCTAATGGCATTATCAGAAGGGCTCCACCTCCTTATGAGAAGCTCCAGCCAGCAGACAGACTCATCGCTCCTGCTGTGTCTGGATATCTTGGGCTCAGCATGTTACCTACATTTACACACAAAGGCCTGATAGTCAAGCACTCTACTCTGATACTCCCCACTGAGACTGTTGGCTCACCCTGATTCTTGGCTCCTGTTTCAGACACTTGAATGTCTGGTGCTCCTATGATACAGATGTGATTGCGAAGGATTCCCGAGAAGAAGTAGGTGCAATTCCAGATGGAAGTTTATATGCAGTTTTTTTTTCTCTCCATTCATTCCGTGGTCATTTTCAGCAATTGCATTTCCCCTGTTGAGGCTACCAAACGTGCATAACTCAGAGAGCATTTGCTTCAAGTAAAAACTTAAAACAATATATTTTTTTAGGTTTTAGTTTTTATTATAATGAAGTAAAAACACTCTCTGTAAAACTAATAATTAAAAATGTGTTTTAATTAAATTGAAATTAAATAATAATTTTAAAAAATCCCTCAAGAATGCTGTTAGATTCCGCTGGTGCAACTGCAATGCTATAGTTAAACTACATATATAATCTTGTTTGTTTGTTATGTTTTCTTTAGCCTTTATTCATCACTCATGCATTGTCATGGACTTCAATGGGCCATTCTGTTCTTTACTGCTGTGATGACCCTTATTCAATTGACTGAAATTTCATCAGTTAAGTGTTCAAATCATCAGTTAAGTGTTAAAAAGCTTGAAATCACAAGTTTTAACCCCACACGATCCAAATTAACTGTCGGGCACTTACAGAGATGTTGTCAAATCAATCAATTTGAACTTCATTCTCTCTGGCAAAATCGCATTAGCTGAATACACAAACTTTAAACAGCTCAGCCTTCTCTTTCAATTCATTTTATTGTTGTTATTTGTGGTTGGGAGTGATGGAAAGAAACTCCCTTAATTAAATGCCGCTATGGTGGTGTGGGAAAAAGGCATTCAATTTCACTAATTAAACTCGCTGTGTTGTCGCACAGAGAGACTCATTGGCCACTAAAAAATTATTGAACTTGTGTCAAACCAACAAACTTTTAGATGACCATTAAATAAATGCATTATTCCAGCTGTGCAGGCCTCATTTGACGCGGATGTTTTTCCAACTTATGATGCATTTATGCATTTGATACGCCCTACCAATTCAGAAGAACAAGACTGTGATCTCATGTGTGAATCAATGCTTATCATAGTTTCAATTAAATAGGTGAAATGTTTCCATAGGTTTCCTGCTGGAGAGAGTTCAGTTCAGACGTTATATTCGTGTCTTCTTGTCCTCGGCTTGGTGGAAAGGCTGGACCTATGAGGTCATGAGACTTCCTGTGTCCTATGAGGGGGTGGGTTTGACCCTGCCCAACTGTCTAAAGCCTAAGATACCAGAAATAACAACAGACCTGATCTATTATGTTCTTCCAAGTAAGCATAACTTGTTCTTTTAAAGCAATAAATATGTGGATGAAACATTTGAATGTCTAGATTGAATTTGAAAAGTTCCAAATGGAACGGAAGAGGTCAAAATAGGTCAAGATAAGTTTGAGTTATCTTTCTTTATTTAAAAATGTGTTTCAGTGGTGTTGCAGAAGAACAGCGATTGACATTGGCACGTTATTATTTAACTAGTTTCTCTTCCGTTGCTTGTTGACTTTCGCTCTTTTGGGACTCATTTTGAGGCCACGTTGTCTGTCTCCAAAGCGACTCAACCATGTTGTATTCAGTAAACAGCCCTTGGCCAGAATGCTGGTTAAACACAGTGAGCCTATCACAGCCACAACAAACTTTGAATGATGGGTCCTTTGTTATTCGAATTTGCCCGCTATCGTGACACTCAACTGTCGTCTTGTGATGGGGGGATTTTGTTTGACAGACAGTAATGCACAAAAACAAACCCTGTATGGAAATATATTTGTTTAGTCTGTCATTTTAGTGTATGCAGCTTTCTGGAGTATAGCTCGAATTGCCTTGCTTTAATAAAAAAAAAAACGTTCTTGAGAAGTTTGCAGTCGAGAGAACGACGGCTTGTATTGACAGGTCTCAAGCTGTAAAATTTCGATTACAG